CACGTCCCCTGTAATTGGAAGGCAGATTCTTAACCACTGGACCACCAGGGAAGTCCCTTCTTTGTTTTTATTTTCAAAAACTTTATGGTGATGTATCTTGGCATGAATTTCTTTGGGTTTATCCTGTTTGGGAGTTTCTCACTGATTCTTTTGTCATTTCCATTTTCTGCTACTGAGCACATTCAATGAGCCTTTTATTTCATTTTCCAGCTTGAAAAATTTCAATTGATTCTTCCTTTTACCCTGTATTTTTTTTCTGTGTCTTTATTTTTTTTTTCATTTGTTTCACGAGTGTTCATAATTGCTCATTGGAGCATTTTTATGATGACTGCTTTAAAATCTTTCACAGATTCTTGTCTTTTCTCACTGAGGTGAGATGAGATGTTCCTGGTTCTTGGTGTGATGAGTAATATTTGAAGATATTCTGGACTTTTTTCTAGTTCCACTTTAAATCTTCTAACTGGCCAGCTAGTTACCTTATTTGGTGGAAGTCTGGGCACCACCCTCGGGCTCTGTGGACACTTTAACCCTGGGCTGGTAGGATGGGGGTCCTGTGTCAGCTCATAGACAGGGAACAGTCCACACCGGCACTGTTCCCAGGGGAGAGAGGAAAGGGTGTGATTTATTCGTGGTACTTGGAATAGAGCAGGTATTGTGAAAAGGGTTCTGTACTGCTCAGCGTCCCATTCCCTGGTCCTTTGGGTACAGAGATCAGTCTTTTCTTGGGGCTTTTATTTCGCCTGCTCCGTTTGTTAGCGTTTCTGGGCGGTCCCAAACCTATGCCCTGTGGCCACGTGGAATTGGTTTAAATTGTGGGGGGAACACAGCGACATCTGTTGGACACAGCGTGAACTACTAGCTCAAGGGACTTCACAATCATTCAATGGTGCTATATTCCTTTCCATTATGTAAATTCTTTGTGAAGCTGAGGCTTTTAGCTGTTGCGAAAAGAAAAGCAAGTACTGCACAAAAATCAACGTGAAGTGTCCAATCTGATTCCCAAAGTTTGAAACGTTGTGCAGGGCCCAACAGGTATACACATCCAACTAGTAAGTGTGGTTATTTAAGAATGAAATAAAAATATTTTTTTCTTTTGATTTATATTGCTTTTTTTTCAAGCAACTCCTAAGTGGTTAAGATATAAATCATAATTAAGTTGTTTGGACCTATGCTACTTAATATGCAGAATTGTTGGCTTATTTATTTTGCCCTAGGAGTGTAATGAAAAAAACCAGAGGCACTGAAAGCCCTGAGAAAGTTTGGTAACCTCTGACTCAAGGATGAATTCCTGCTGCTTTCTCTATTTCTTCCAAGTAATGCGTCAGGCCTTGCAGGGGTGTAGTTGTGTGCAGTAGAACTAGGAAATTCTCAGACCTAAGTGTACATCTTGCTTATGACAAACACTGTCTCTGTCCTCCCAAGTTCCCTCATTACCTCAAAACACAAGCCTAAATCTCTCTCCCCAGTTTTAACGGCTCATGGCTACACCATCACCATCTATTGTAACTTGGGTCTTTAAAGCCACGAGGAAACACATGCCTTGGTTCCTCCAGAGTCTTGTGTGTCTAAAAGAAGGCAGGCCATGTGGGTCACCAGAAGATTTGGCTTGGGGGTTCATCATTTTGCCAATACCCATTCCAAATGGGTAATTCTTGACAGATGGCTTAGGACAAATAATTTTGGCCTCAGAACTGCTTTTGTTTTCTCCAGCAAAGATACCAGGAAGATATGCATGTGTGTTGGGGAAATTAGATGCCCCAGGCTGTGTTTGTGTACGTATGCATGTGTCTAATCCTGTCCTGTCGCAGCGCTTTGCAAAGACTGTCTCTTCTCGACCTGCTAACTGTGAGCTTCCCAAGTTGAGATTGTGCTTTGTTAGGTCCGGCACCCAGGACAAGGCCTGGCACATGGCAGACACTGAATAAATGTTTGTTGCTAGAATATGGAAATTAATTAATTAATGTAATCTGATTTGCATAAGCAGATGTACCATAAAGGCTAAAGAAGCTTGAGCTTCCGGGCCCCAAAGATTTGTGAGAGTGAGACGTTTTAACTCCAATTAGTTAAAAGTATTCTTGCTTTCCACTTTGATTTACACTTTGTCACATCTGACTTCGTGTTTGGGGGTTTAGGCTCAGGGGAAGTTGAGTCAGGATGCATTTAGTTTGGGTTTAGTGGGCTACATGTTTATGTGATTGACATTCATTTTTGTCTATAACTAATGCTGGCCATCCTGGTATAGAGATAAGTTCTAGGAATCCCTCTGCCCACTGGGAAGGACACATCCCAGGTTGGGACTTGAGGGTGCAAGGCTATATAGCTTCCTACAGTGCCCAGAGCAAGAGGAATATGTGTCATAGAGGAGAAATAAGACTTGGAAGATTTGGATAGGAAACTGGAAAAGTCTTCCATGCATCAGGTGTGTAAAATTATAAGCTATAAATCATTCTCTACAACACCTAGTCAAAAAGGACGTTCTTTTCCAAAAGGAAGAGAATCAAAAGAGCAGATGCATTCACTATACTTTCTTTTTTAATGAGGATTCCATGATACAGAGTTTATGATATTTGTTTCTGGAGTACACACCTATACTAGTACCACAGACAGCAAGGACATCTGTGGGCAAAGTAACACATTTATGCACCTCAGCTTGTCAGCTTGCATCTTACAGTACTTTCTGCATCCTGTTCGGATGAAGTCTGGTGGTTCCAGATGAAACGGTGTGCTAAATGGTCACTGAGTCAGCAAAGGTGCTTGAACTTTCTAAATTGTTAATAGTAAACAAGTGTTGATCAAGCCCCAGAAGACTGGTTTACTTTTGATCTCTATAGGAAAAATTGTATTACAAAATTGTTGTTTTACGAAGAGGCGATCAGAGAGCATGCACCCAAAAACAAAAGTAGGAAAAAAGTATACTAAGAAGTTAATAACAAGTATAAAAAGCAGTTATCGTTTTTGGACTCATTGATGGTTTTAGTTTGATCAGCTTTATACAATTTGAAATGTGTATTGATTTCTCACTCTAAATATTCCCTTTCATATCTAATTTGGTATTCAAAATTTTGTAATACTTTTCAAATAGATTGACAAATAGACATTTGATGTCTCAGTGCAAGTTCTTCACAATACAAGAACTAGTCACTTAATCCCTCCCTACCATTTATGGTAAAAAATTTTGCTATTTCAGCTGTAACAGCTCTAAATAACATATAATATATAACAGCCCTATAGAACATGTAACTATAGAACATCTCTATACAGCAGATAAATATATAATAGCCCTATAGCTGTGACAGCTCTAATTTGCATTGCCAGAAGTGACAGGCAGTCTTCTGAAACACTACATTTTACTCTAAATGGTGCACACTGTGTAATCTATTTAAAGACCTTTTAAGGAACAAGTAGGAATTCAAAGTTAAATAATTTCAATCTGAAATGGGGACACTATCAGCAAACTGCAGGTTGTGGGAAACTCTACAGAACAACCTGGTTTCTTCAATTTGAAGAAAAAAAAAGCAATGGAATGGGAACTATTAGAAAATGACATTCATGAGATAGTTGGAAATCATCTGACTGAATATTTGATACTACATAATTATTGTTACTTCTTAGATATGAGATGGTTGTTAAAAAGTTATCTTGTAGAGATATGTAAAATATTTTTAGATAAAATTATATACCTGTAATTTTCTTCAAAATACTAATGGAGAAGTGGATGAGGCAGGTATGACTATAGGTTAAAGTTTAAGGGCTGAGTGAGGGGCACATAGAGGTACATTATACTACTGTCTTTTTTGTGTGTGTATCCTCAAAATTCTCTATAATAAAAAGTAATAAAATACTCAATTTGATTGTCAAACCCAACAGACATGACTCAGATGCCAAGACCATCATACGGATGACAGAATCTAGTGCGTGGTTGTAGTGCATGTCTTAGGGAGTTAAAGTCTTGATAAATGTCAAGAAGTGAAATAATTTCATTGTTTCTATTATTAAAATTAAAAGTTGTGTGTAAGTTGTATACAATTAGATACTTTCCTTGGTAAAAAAAAAATTGGAAATTTTTATAGTTTTGTATTTTATTAAGCATGCCCAAATATTCCACACATAGGAAATATGTGTTTTAAAGAGATCAAGTAGCATTTATAATAGAGGAAGCATTGTTATCCTAGCATGAATATAATGGTGATATGAAAAATATAATAATAAAATGATTAACATTATGGAATTTTTATGAGGCAAAAAAATATTTTTTTTCCAAATGAGACCAATATTTTATTTACATACAAGAAATAAGCCAGTACAAAATACATTCAAAAAAATTCACTTGGCGCTAAAAATCCCACCACCCCACCCCCAATCTCACACATCTGGGTTCTTCTCCTGGCAGCCCCTGGGTCAACTCAGCTTTTCTGGGCCTCCTGCAAGAGCCTGGGGGCAGGGGGTGGGGTCAGCAGCCCTGAGGGCAAAGGTGAGGGTGCACTGCTGGCAGTGCCCCGGATCACACTCCATCTCTCAGTCATCTCTGTCTACAGGTGGACCTGCTCCATCCCCCACCAGGGCCCTCACAACCCAGGGCAGGTAGTAATAGGAGGACAGGTAGTTCAGGTGCACTGAGAGGTGTCTCCCTTCATCTGGCAGTGCTGTGGGGCGGCTCCCTGCCACCACCACCCCCCCAGAGGATGCAGTGGCAGGTGCTCTGTGCTGAGGTCCCCAAGCGCGTTGATGCCCTAGCCATGGCAGGTGGTGAGCAGGTATGGGTCACAGAGCTGCTGTGGGTTCCACTTGTGGTTGGGGACAAGGACAAAGCCGTCAGAGGAACCTGGGTTCTCAAAACCAGTACTTATCCCTGTATCTTGTGACATTTGACAATGTTGAACCCTCGCTGCTACTTGAAACTGTCTCCCTTCAGTATCTATGTCCTCCTACCTTTCAGGGTACTCTCAATCTCATGTATGGGCTACAGTTCCTCCGACTCACCCTTCAGTCATGGGGGAGTGCGTGGGGAGGGTGGGAAGGGGGCTTCGGCATCTGTGGGCTTCTCCTTTGGGGATTATAAGGAGGTAGCACAAACTGAGGGGAGATCTCACACATGGCTGGACCAAACCGGAAATCATCTGTTTTCCCATCCATCCCTCCCAGAACTGTGCAAATCTACTGTAGAAATAAAAGGTGTCAGTTTAGAAAACACTTCATGAGGAAACCATTTGACTTTATATGATTTTATTTTTCAAAGAATATCACAAGAGCAACCAGCTTTCCCCTCGAGATGAATCTTGATATGGTAACATCATTTTTGACGAACGAGGCTGAAGGACCCTAACAGCGACCCCAGCAGCTTTTTGGATGAACTCCATATGTTGCAAGAACTTGAAATCTTGGCCACCAGGGGACTTCTGAAGTTCTTCTTCCTTAAAATGTTGCGGGAAATAGTCCAGCGAACGGTTTGGGGTATAATCTCCGGCGAGTCTGATGGTATACAGGCATAAAAAAATGGCTGGTTTTGTTCTCTTTCAGAATGGAAGCTGATATCCTCTTGAGGTTTTGATGCTGACTTATGTTTGCTTGGGAAATAATCTGACCTTTCTGACTCATAATCCCGTACTTTCTCCTTTCTTGTGCGTTTCTCTTTACGCTGTGTATAACTGTCATCACATTCCCAAGGAGTGTTGTTCTTTCTAGATAAATACAATTTGGCCTTCTTTCGTTCTTTGCTTTCCAAATGCTTGTGAGGTTTGCCTTGGCTTTTTGCAAGATGTAATTCAATATCTGATTCCGTTAAGGGGACTAAAGAATAACATTTTCCACTCCTTGCAGTCTGCGAAAGCTTCTCTTCGCTGAACGGAATGGAAGATGATACAGACAAAACCTCTACAGTATTTAAGGAACTGTGACACCACAAGTCAGGAGGTCGCATTTTGGAAGATGACCTATGTTTCCTCCTTTTGTGAGATTCATAAGAAGGTGGTGTCATTTCGGAGGATGACCTATGTTTCCTGCTTTTGTGGGATTTGTAAGAAGTTGGTGTCACAAATGAGGAATGTTTTTGACAGCCTCTAATATGATGGGAACCTGAATCTTCACTGTAAAGTGGTTTCAAATCAGTTTTGATTTTTTTCTTCTTGTAGAGATTTTCCACAGGCATGTCCTTCTGTAATTCAAACAGAATATTCTGTGACTTCCAACTTAAATAAGGGTTGGCATCTGAAAATATACATTCTTCACTCTCGTGTACATCAAGAGCTGAGCATTCCTCCAAGTTATCTGAACTCTCAATATTTGTCTGACTATCAATAAAATCTTCAAAATTCTGAATTGAATGGGAATCAACTAAATCCTGAGTCTTTTCCTGAGTCTTTAAATCAACAGATTCACATGTATTTGTTTCTTGAAACCATACATGACATCGTTTATCTTTTTCTGGAGTCACATGAGATTTTAACTTTGAAAGAGCCATGGTATCTTTCTGCACTGTGTTGTGTTGATCAGGGTCAGAGGCACAAACCTGAGTGGGCTCCAAGAAATTTCTGACTAATGATGAGTTTTCATGGAAACTTTGCTTTTTGAAAGAGATATGTTCTTCTAACGGTCTTGTACCAATGGAAAGACCACCACTTTCTCCACTATTGTCTACTTTTTTACGTATTGCAACTGTCTGTAATTTAAGAATATGTTTGGGAAGTGCATTTGGCTTAGGGAACATACTTTTGACTGGAGAGCCCAGGAGAAAACGAAGGTATTTGTATTGTAAATCAAGATCTACTTGATGAAGAGATTTTTCCTCAAAAAGTAACAAAACTCTGTTTTTTCGTTTTGGTACTTTGACACCAGAATGAATACATTTAGATAAAGGCTTCCTTCCATCCTGAGCCCTGGCCATTATGTAAGATTCTCTTACAATTCTGGGAAAGGCTTTCATTTGAATCTCCAGTGTTTTCATAGAAAAGTGTATGAGAAGTTTGTTTTTTTCTCCTACTGAATAGTTTTGGAGAATATGAGGCAATGTCATCTCTCTAGCATAAGTCAAAGGAGATGTTCCACTATCTAGCTCATTTATACTCTTTAACTTTGTAATGATCTTTTCATTGCCCCTTGAAACATTAACAATCAGTGACTTCATACAGCTGACAGGAGGTGAGTCTTTTTGGTATTTGTGCTTTAGGTTAAATTCTATGGTATCAATCCCTCCCAGAGACAAAAAGAACAGTTTTTTATGTCTTGGATAGAGCTTCCAACTGTTATGTTTTGAAATAGCCAGTTTTTGATAAAAGTTGAACTTTTGGAAGGATTGTTTTACCACCTCTGGTATCAAATTCAGTTTTATTTCAGGTGCTTTTGACTCTAAATGATTAGTGGGCTTGATTTTTTCTTTGCAAGTAAAATTTTCTAAAATAGGTTTTGGCTGCAATTTGGGATGTATTTTCATGTATGTTGCATCTGGACCCCCTGCCAAAGGTGGTGACTTCCAATCATCAAATCCTTCAGATTTGACTCGTGGAGGCTCTTTCCTTTGCTGTACACTGATCATGAAGTTTGAGGTCCACTGTTGCATGGCCTCTTCTGGCACCGAGTGTTCTGCATTTTTAACAATTTCACTCTCACCAGCAGCTGACTCTCTAATTGCTGTTTTCTGGGTATCTGATGATTCCTGGAGATTCTGCTGTGGACGAGAGGATCCCATGATTCCTGGTGCGTCTTTGTCTATTTTGCTCCCTGACTCTAGATAAAGAGGTGCTGATGGGATGGAAAGAAAAGTTCTTGTCAGAACCATACATGGTTCATCTTTACCTTTGTGCACTTTTTCCCCTGGCCCTTTAATAACATTCAACACAAATTCCTTTGTACTAAGGACATGTGGTATTGGTGAAATCGTTGCCTCTTTGTGATGTGTCCTGAGCCTCATATCTACTTTTTTCACATCATACTTTTTTTCTTTCTCTGACATATGTTGTTTTCTTTTTATTACATCACTACCAATTCCCTTCGTATCTGGTCTCTTCTTTGCATCTGATAATGCTGAAAGCATTCTTGGAAGTAGAGAGGATTTTTTAATTCCAAGCCTTCCTTCATCTACTTGTGTACCTTTATCCAATTCCAGCTTAGTTGGAGGTTTGGAAACATAAATGTTTCTTACCACCGTACTGGGTGGTTTACCTTGACTTTCCTGTTTCTTTTGCTCTATCCCCCCAATGTTCAGATGTAATTCTGTTCTGTGGAGCATATATGAAGAAGGTGACTTCTTGGACTTCAAAGTTATATCTTTGGTGTGCATCGCACCTCTCCTATCTACCATTTTTTCTCTTTCCCTCTCTTCTTTCTCAGGCATAGGTCGTTCCTCGTTTTGAACATCTTTCGAGGTATCACCACTAATTGAATATGTATGTACTATTTGCCCTGCATTTGATATTCTGAGCAAAACAGACCTTTTAAGTGCTAGCATTTCACTGTCAACTTGTATTTCTTTATCTATTTTGAGGGCAGGGAGAGATGGTGATGAAGTAGAACATTTCTTCAGGTTTTGACCAACTTTTGTGGTATCAGCACTGATTGAATCTGTATGTACTATTTCCCCTGCGTACGATATTCTCAGGAAAACAGACCTTTTAAGTGCTAGCATTTCATTATTGACTTGTACTTTATCCAATTTGAGGGCAGGGAGAGATGGTGATGAAGTAGATTTGGTCAGAACCATACCTGGTCCATCTTTACTTTCCTGCATCTCCATTTCATGATGTTTGGGGGACTTGAGGTTTCCTCTTTCTACACCATCCTCTTCCCTGTTCTGGGGCAAATGTTGTTTTTCTTTTGGGGGACTGATGACAGTATCACTAGCCATTGGCTCTGCATGTACCACTTCCTCAGAACCTGATGATTTCTGGAAGTTTACTGGGGGAAAAGAGGGTCTTGATAGCATTGGCATGCCCTCTTCTCTGATGCTGGTGTTTTTGTCAAGGTGAAGAGAAGATTTAGAAGTGCAAGTCTCAGTCAGTGTTGCATCACCCGGCTCCCGTTTACCTTCCTGAACCTTCCCTTCTTGCCCTTTAGTTTTCCACTGAAGGTCACTTAGATTGTATGTAAGTAAAATAGGCGATTTCTTTGCTTCCAAATCCGTATTATTGTGGTCCACTCTACTATTCATATCCACATATTTCTCTCTCTCCTTCTCTTCTTTGTGTAGCATGTGTTCTTTTAATTTTTTTACATATTTTGAAAGTTGTCCCTCATTGGTCTCAGCATATTCTGATGATTCCTTGGACTGTGCTTGTGGGAGAGGCAATTTTGTAATTCTTATCAGGTTCCCCTCTCCTTCTGTTGTATCAGATTTAAGATATGGTAGAGCCAGTAAAGGAGTATAAATGTTTTTCAGTTTTGTGACTAGTTCACTGTCCTCTCTCTGTACCCTTCTCTTTTGCTCTTTAATTTTCCACTTCAATTCTTTGGTATCACGTATATGTGAAAGTGGTAATTCCTTTGCATTCTGATGCATAGATATCAGGAGCACTTTGTCTTGAGTATCTGTTTTGAGTCTAACTTCCTCTTTTAACATATAACCATCACATGACCTAGTATCTGCTTTTTCACTTGGGAGCACTTTGTCTTCAATAACTGTTTTGAGTCTATCTTTGTCTTTTAACAAATAACCGTCAAATGACTTAGCATCTGCTTTTTTGCTTGGATTGAATGGATCATAAATCTTCAGTGGTGAAAAACAGGATTGTATTATTCTTTCTGTGTGTTCCTTTTCATTCCTGCTAGTGTCCCATTTCAGGTAAGATGGAGAAAGTAAGGAGGCATGAGTTTCCCTCAGAACCATTTCTGGCTCACCTTTGCTGTCCTGCACTTCCTTCCCTTGCCCTTTGACATTCAAAGGTAGTCTGTTTCTACTGAGTAGATGTGTAAGTGGGGATGTATGGGCTTCCAAAGTTATTATTTTGGGGTATAGTCTATCTTTCTTGTCCTTTGTTTTTACTCTGACCTTTGTCTCTCTATATGGCATATGTCCATTAGTTTTTATTATTCCATTACATGAGCTAATACCTTGACTGGAATCTGCATATCTGATTTTCCCTGCACCTGATGACTCAGGGAGCTGAAATGGTGAAAGAGAGAATCCTGCAACTGCAGGCAAGTCTTCGTCTCCTTTGGTTCCTGCATCCAATCTATGGTGAGATGGAGAAGGCGAGGAAGGAGGACTTTTTGTTGGAGCCACATCAAGGTCTTCTGTTCTTCCCTGCCCCTGTTCTACTCTCTCCTCAATGCTCGGCCATGGCTCCTTTCTCCTACTCAGAGCACCGTGCTCAGCAACACTGAACACATGAGGAGGGGATGATGTCTTTGCCTTGAAATCTGTGCCACTGGCATGCACTGAGCCGCTCATGGCTGCTGTTTGTACTCTGTCCTTTTCTTTCGGTGGTGGATGTTGTTTTCCTTTCTTTCTGTGGCTATCAGTTGACCTTGGAGGTGCTATCTGCACTGAAGGCAATGAATCTTGGAGCTCAGGGGGTGGCACATAATTCCTTATGATTCCTGGACCACCTTCTTCTTCTGTTGTTGTGTCAAATTTAAGATGAACTGAAGAAGTGACAAAAGGACAAATTTTGCTCAGAAGCACGACTGTGTCCCTTCTACCTTCCTGCCCCCTTTTCACTTGCTCTTTGATGTTCACTTGCAGTTTCTTTGCTTTGAGTATATGGAAAAGGGGTGATTTCTTTGCCTTCAAAGCTAAGCACTTGGGATGCATCAGGTTTCTCGCAAAAATATTTGCTTTACCCTCCTCTTTCTGTGTCATGTATTTTGTTCTTTTCAAATCACTTGAGATATCATTCACAGGTGACAGTGTGTATTTTAATTTCTCTGCATTTGATGATTCCCTGTGCCATGAGAATGGAATACCGGGTTTTATTACTCTTTGCTTCTCTTTCTTGCCTTCTGTAACTTTGCTTAATGTAAATTGAAGTAGACAAGGTTCTGTCAGAACCTCATGTAGTTCACTTCTTCTTTCCTGTACATGTCCCAAGTCTTCTCTTCTGTTTGTCTGTACTTCTCTAATTTGGGGGCTACACCTGCCAGGGGTATTGGGTACATGTGGAAGTGGTAATACCTTTGCCTTGGAAGTTGTCTCTTTGGAGTACATTATATATTTCATATTTACCACTTTTCCTCTATCCTCTCCTTTCTGGGGCATATATTCGTTTGCTGCTTGTACATCACTTGTGATATTACCCTTGATGAACTCTTTATTTTCTTTTTTCACTACATCTGATGATTTCTGCTGTGATGGTTCTGGAAGAGAGTACCTTGTTACTTCAGCTCTGTAGTCTTCCTCTTTTATTCTTGTATCCAATTTAAAAGAAGTAGCAGGTATGGAAGTACATGTCAAAATCACACTTGGTTCACCCTGAATTCTTTGTATCTTTTTCTTTTGTTCTTTGATGTCCAACTGGATTTCCTGTGAACTTGGTGATTTCTTTTGCTCCAAAGATAGGAATTTTGCCATTTTTACTCTTCCCTCTTCTTCCTGCATTATATGTTCTTTGGCTTTTTTTACATTGTTTGAGTTATCACCATAAACAGACTTTTTATGTGCTATGTTTCCTGTATCTGATGAATCCTGGAGTTTGGGTTGTAGAAAAGAGGATCTTGTTTTTCTTAGCATGATTGCTTCTCCTTTCCTTCTTGTGTCCACTTCACAGTAAGGCAGAGAAGAGATGGAAACACAAGATTTTCTCTGAATCCCAGCTCGTTCATCTTTATGTTCCTGCATCTTTTCCTCTTTTTTTTTGATGTTCAACTGTAATTCCCGTGCAATTGGAGACTGGTTCGCCTCCAAAGCTATTCTTTTGGGATTCCTTATCTCTTCCAAAGCCATTTCCACTTTATCTTCATTCTCCTGTGACATACATTTTGATCTTTCTATGCTGCTTAAGATATCATCAGTTGGCTCCCCACATATTATCACTGCATCTGACAACCCCTGGAGGGTAAATGGTGGAAGGCAGAACCCTGACACTCCTCGCATGTATGCCTCTTCTTTCACTGCAGGACCCCATTCCAGGTGAGGTGAAGACAGAATGGAAACACAGGGATTATTCTGAACTACAACTAGATCACTCTTATCTTCCTGCATCATTTTCTCTTGTTCTTTATTGTTCCACTGTGGTTCGTTTCCATGCAGTGTATGTGTAAAAAGTTTTTTCTTTCTTTTAAAAGGGGCACGTTTGCAGCCCCTTATATCTTTCATGTATACTATATTGTCTTCATCTTCCTTCATTTTCTGGGGCAAACGTTGTTTTGATTCTATCATGTTGCTTAAACTGTCTCTATTAATTGACTCTGCAAATGATGTTTTCCTGATATTTGATGATGCCTGGAGGTTTAGTGGTGGAAGGCAGTTCCATGGTGTTCCTGATTTATCTCTTCCTTCTTTTGTTCTTGAATTCAAATTAGGATGTGATAGAGATGGTAAGGAAGTAGACAGGTTTGTCAGTTTCACACCTGATTTACCTTTACCTATCTGCACATTGCTCTCTTGTTTTATAATGTTCAACAGCCCTGGCAATTCCTTTTCATTGAGTATACGTGACAGTGATGATTTCTTTGCTTTCAAGATAACGTTGGGATCCATTATTCCTTTCATATTGACTTTTCTTCTTTCCTTCTCCTTCTTCTGTGATACAGGTTGTTTTATTCTTTTTACATTATTTGAGATAATCTCATCAATTGTCTTTTTATTCAATTTGAGGTAAGGTAAAGAAGGGATGAAGTCATATATACTTGTCAAAATCAAATCGGGTTTGACCTTTCTATGTTTTATATTTACCATTTTCTCTTTTATCCTCCACTGCAGTTCTGTTCTATTGCCTGGGCTACCACCATCAGTGGTATTAAATATATTTGAAAATACCAATTTCTCCAAAGTTCTTTGGGGGTGTACTCTGCCTTTCTTAACTCCTTGCTTTAAGTCATTCTTCTGTCTTTTATTTTCAGGCAAAAGAGGCATATGGATAGAAAGAGAATGTGAAAATAATCCAGGTAAACATACCTCTTTTTGCACCTTTTTTTGATACGCTTTATGTAATTGCACATTCTTTCTAACTCTTAGCTTGGGGGAGCTAACATTTGATATTGAATCAATTACCTGCGCCCCATCCAGTGATTTCTCTCCTTTCGGCAATGAGACATTCTGATATTTTACAGTTTTAGTGAATGATTCTAAAGGCGGCCTTGTATTTTGTTTTGTTGTTTGCCTTGGAGGAATCGAGGGTACAGTCCATTCCAGGCCATACTCACATCCGGTATTTAGTTGATCTTTAGAAATCAAATCTAATCCTTTTATCCTGCTTGACACACTACCTACTTCCGATAATGCTTCCTTTGTCAGAGGTGTTAAATGTGGCAGCAGCCAGGGATCATTTTGAAGGTAAGACGTATGCTCCACAAGATTCTCAGAGGGAGTCAGCGAGTGCTGCTGGCTTTGTTCTATACTGAGTAAGTTTTGTCTTTCTTCACTTTTTTGAATATATCCAACAATAACACCCATTCCTTTTAATGCTTCCTTAGCCTGTGGAGGTGAATGTTCACAGTTCATCCTATTTGTGCCACCTAGTTTTACTTCTTGCACTGGGGTATCAGTTTGACGTAGACCTGCTTGGGGGTGAGATGCAGACTTTTGAAGAGCCTCATAAGTACATTTCTCTTGCTGGTCTCCCTTTCCTGTAATAAGCGAACCAATTCCTTCTGTACTTGGAGTGTAACCCACTGTGCTAACTACTTCTTCTGATGCCTTCTTTTCACACAGCATCTTACTTTGAAATATATCTCTCGAAGAGTCAGAAGCAAGATATGGACAAATATGTTGTATACGTTCTGGTTGCTCTTCTCTTCCTGCAATAGGCAAGCCAATTCCTTCTGTATTTGAAGTGTGGTACATTGGACTATTGACTTCCTTTAATGCTTTCGTTACCCTTAGCAATTTAATCTGAAGTATATTCATCAAAGAATGAGAAACAGATGTTGCAAGAGCCTTGCATATATTTTCTTGTTGATGTTCTTTTCTTTCTCCAATATGCAAATTAATTCCTTCTGAGCATGGAGGTTGATCCACTGGAATATCTGCTTTGTTTGATGCTTTCTCTACCACTGGGCTCAAAACTGTTGGACTGATTCCTTTGGCTGAGACTTCTTTCTTTCGCTTTCCAATATGGAGTTGATGCACTATGCAAGAGGCAACTGATCCCAGAAGATTTTCTTCTTTCTGGTTAGAACTATTTTGTTGCTTTGCCCTCCGTTTTTTGGAAAACTTTATTTTCTGTCCATTTGATTTTGACAGAATATCCATTAACTTTGGTTTCTCTTTTCTCCATGAATTTACATTTGAAACGATAGGGATGTTAACATTTTCTTTCCCTGTTGCATTTCTTGCCCCTTTTACATGAAGAGGCTCCTCACTGGGGCAAGATAACGAATCCAGAATCTGTTCAGGAGCGTGATCTGGTTTCACTTCTCCTTTCTGCACCGCAGACATATATCGCTGGGCCTCTACATTTGTACAAAGAAACGTCTGTCCTTTTGAACCTTGTAAGGTATCAGTTTCTCTTAATCCTTCTCTGCCCAATAGATGTGAAATATTTTTTCTGTCAATGTACGTACCTTCCTCAGAGACCTTTACTGTATTTTCCAAATGACGAGTTTCCATAATGGGATACAAAGTATGCTCCAGGTGTGTCCTTGAAATACTTCCTTGTTTCAGCAGTTTCTGCTCCTTGCAAGTGTTCTGTTGAGAAGCATCCAACTCTGGAAGAAACATATTCTTTCCTTTTGAACTTAAGGAAATGTCCATTTTCTTGGATACTTCTCTCCACTGTGGAGTTGGAAATGGACGTTGGGTCATGTCTCCATATCCCTCCTTTACTCCTGGTGTGATAAGGAATTTGTGTTTTGTGTGTAATCTAATTCTTGAGATGTCCAACGTAGTGCAGTTGGTTTCCCTCTTTTGTGAATGTCGATCAGGATATACTTCTCTTTTCAAATCTACTGTGAATTTGACATCGTCAGGCTCTTTCTTCAGTGGCTGGCTCATCATGAATCGGTATTTACATTGTGGGAGAACGTCTGGTGAAGCAATTTGGTACTTTTCTTCTTGCTCTCTAATATACTGTTTCAGTGTTTTAATATTTCTTGATTTAGCACTCTTAGCAATGGACTGTGAAAATGCTATTTGTCTTCTGTTTAGTGCTTTCTCCAGCTTTGGCTCTGGAGGAATGTGTATCAGCCTTTGTGCCTTGCCTTTTTCCCTTTCTGCTTCCATCAGCGCTTGAAGTTGAGGTGGAATAGACCCAGAGTCACAGATAGTTTTCAGAACGAACTCTACCTCAGCGTTACCTTGCTGGAACCCCGGCTTCTGTTTCTTGATGTTACACCTTGTTTCCTTTTCGTTGCTCTGGGTTCCATACCCTGTTGTGTTATACATCAGGGAAACAAGTGGTTTCTTTGCCTTCGATTTTACCTGTTCAGTATGCGTAGTGTTTGTCACATCTGCTGCTTTTGCATTACCTTTATGTTTTATGATTTTAGGATATTTAGGATTGTAAGCATAAGCAGAATTCTGGATGGTTCCTGAGACACATGGTTCTTGCTGTCTCGTTTGTAGAAACTCAAATGGCTGGGTATTTTGTGGAGGTGCTCCAAACAAAACCTGTTGTTCATACTCTTCTTCCTCTGTAACTTTTGCTTTGTTCAGGGCATTTCTCTTTTCAGAAGATTCTTCATAGTTACCCCAGGTACTAGGTGACTGCTCCATTTTTATGTGCGGTGGAATAGACGTAGAAGCATCTGTAGATTTTAGGTCTGCACTTAACACAGTTTTCTCTCTCTCTATGCCCACCTCCTGTTCCTGGTCCTGTTCCTTATTAATGCTTAAAGCAGCATGACCTGTGGCATTAACTGATTGTAAAATCACTCGGCTTTCAACTGGCAACTCCATGTGTGTTGGTTGTACAGGACTAAACCTTGATACTCTGTCTATCTCTGTCTTGAATCTGCTTTGCCTTTTAATGTCAGAGGTATCCAATGTGAAGTAAATGGCATTTGTAAATATAACAGACACATTTTTACCTTGCCAAATCTCTTTCATTTTGGTTTTTAAATTGGATCTAAGTTTTTTTCTCTGCTTTGTGGCAAACTGCCTATTGACTTTAAGTATCTGTGAAATGAGTGGCTCCTTTTTCTTCAGAGCTAAACATCTGGGATTCAGTATGATTTTCTCTTGTACTGTGTTTATCTGGCTTTCAGAGTCAGATAAAACAGGCGTGAACAAATCTAAAGGGCCCAAGAGAGCTGTGGCTAAGTTTTCCTCCGACTCTGCCTTTTTCTCTGTGATAAGACCACCCAGATTTTTGTGACATGTTCTGTCATTATACAGAGTGTCCCTCGCTGCTGTATCGAATGAGAGTTGATCAATCACTAACTTGGGCATTGGAATCTTAGCTCCCTCAGTGGTGAGGAGTAATGTCTCTCTCACACTTCCATTCCATTGCCTCTCTCTTACCTTGTACTTAACTTTGTGGAGTTTTTTTCTATGGATTCCTGTAAGACACCTTGTGCTATTAAGCACCTGTAAAATTGATGGTTTCTCTGCCTCCAGAATTACCTGCTTGGGACTCACTGTATTTTTCTTGTCTGCAACCTCTAATGTGTAACTCTGGCTTCTGGGTTCAGACGGATCAAGGCTGGAGAAATCTAAAGGCTTTAAGACAGTTCTTACTAAGTCACTTTGATTCCATGTCTTTTTCTTAGAAATAGGACGATCCCATATCCTCCTCGGATTTCCATCCCAGAGACCATCACACTGTATGGAACCAGTCTCTGACTTCCTAGCTTTTGGAAATGGGGTCTTTAGACCTACCATATATTGTATTCCCTCTTGAGTATGAAGACTTTTCTTCAATGTTTGTACTCGAATAAAATTCATCACGTTTCTAGAAACAGCCTCTAAAATAGTTTCTCTAACGTGTTCTTCTTGCCTCATATTTTGCATGGCACAAGACAAATTCCAAGTCCTCCTGCCTTCTGAACGATTCAGTTTAGATTTTGGTTTGCAAGGGCCAAGATTTTTCATATGATGGGAACTGAAATGGAAGTGTTGACTATAGTGCAGAACTGATTCTGCTAACATTTCTGGGATATTTTCCTCTTCCTTTTTATGTGGCACATTCATTTTACCTGTGTTGCTGGATCTGCTTTGTGTATCAGTCAAATTGGCCTCCCATGCTTCCCCATCACTTGGTGATTTCTCTAGCTCTGGATAGGTATGGTTGTGTATTTTCACTCTTGGTCGATCCGTCCCTGTTTTTGGTGTGCTATCAATTTCAAAATCTATTTTGTAATCAGTTGAAACAGGTGTGGGAGATAAAAACGCATCACCTATACTTCTATTTGGTTGCATGTCCTTTATCATAGATTTTAAATGGCCTTCCTGTTCCTTTCTACAGTACAGATGACCATCCTCAGTGATATTAAGCACCTGTGAAAAAAGAGGCTTCTTTGCCTTCATTGTTATACATTTGGGACCCATAAGATCTTTCCTTCCTGGAAATTGTAATGCCTTTTTCTGCCTTTTAGAGTCAGGTAAAACAGACATCATGGATATTGTTAGTAAATCTCTTGGCAACTCTTTATGTTTCTTGGCAATACGACCACCCACTTTCCTTCTAGAGCTTTCATTATATGGATCTCCAAGCACTGAGATCCCTGACTTGGGAGGTGGGATATTTTGATCAACTGTGTATTTTGTTATTTTTTGAGTTTTTATGTCTTCCTCTTCTTCTTCAAGTTGTTGGGAAGCTGCACTGGGAACATCCAGCTTCTTTGTGGAGCTCTGATCAGATGTAGTCCTATACACTGCCTCATCAATTAAAAGACCATCAAACATTGCTTTCCCTCTTTTTAGACGTGAACTCTTTTCACTTTTTCTATGCAGTATGTCTGTTTGTGGTAGGATATTCTTTTTCAGCTCTTCAGTTTGAAATGGAATTATCAGAGGAGAACAAATAGACTCCAACATATTTTCCAAAACTAGCGCTTGTTGCCATGCTTCTTGCTCTGTAATAAGCATATTTTGATCTTTTCTACTTCCGGTCCTATTCAGGAATTGTAGACCTGCTTTGAATAAAACTTCCTTGCCCATTTTTTCTTTTTCATTTTGCCATCTTGATTCTGATGTGCTGCTTGAGGTGCTCCATTTATTAGAGGTATATTTACACACTCTTTTCCCTTCCTCTTGTTTTAACTGTATAATATTGACTTTTTTTCTTAATGGGCCTTTCTTTGCTTTCAGTTTTTTGTGTGTTTTGATGGCAGGTGAAACAGGTGTAGGTGAAAAAAAGGTATTCATAAATATATTTGACATACTTTGAGGTATTTCTTTGGCCATGTCATCCAAGGTGTAGACCTGTTCCTTTCCATGGCTGGGGGCACCAGACCTAGTGATATTAGTTGTCTTTAAAATCGATGCCATCTGGGCTTTCCCAGTTCTAGACTTAGGGATTAGTGCTGCATTTCTCAACCCTTTAATTTTAGGTGACGCTGGCATGTAGATACCAAAAGACTGCAGGGTTCTCACTCGTAAATCCTTTGGTAACCCTATTTTTTCCTCTGGAATAGAACCAGCAAGTTCCTTTGTAGGGCCTCTTTCAGATAGGATATCAGTCGGTGCTTTAACAGTTAAAGATTCACTAAGTGATTTCCCTGTCATTGGAGATAAAATCTTTGGACTCTGTGTTTTTGTTCTTTTTGGTAGCTTCTCAAATGGAAGTGAATTCAAAATAGAGCAAGACACAGGATGCAATACACTTTGTGTGAAAAGTGTGTGTTGCTGCAGCTCCTGAGCTATGGTAAGCGATTCTGGGGTTTTTTCCCTTGCTGAATACTTACATTTTAGATCTGATTTCACAAAGCGAGGTTCCTTCATGTTAGGAGCATGGAAAGTGAGGTGCTGGGAATTCCATGGCGCTGCTTCTCCACTGAGGTCTTTGACTTCCTTCCTGACATTTGAGGCCCTGCCCTTCTCGCCCCTGGAATAGGGACACGAGGCTCTTTCTCCATCTGGCCACTGCCCTTGGTGTTGCAGCTCATGACTGAACCTCATCTTCCACGGCATGTCCGTCTCTACTTTGCTTCTGTCATGCACTTTCATGTCCAGTGAAACCTCCACGGGAGAGGAAAAGGCATTCAGGATGACAGCTGCCACAGACTGACCTTGTTTCCTCATGGTTTTGTAGTTGCATTCAAACTGCCTACCATGGCTTGGTGCACCACATTTTGTGATGCTAAATGTCTTTGAAATCAGTGTCTTCTTTGCTTTCAAAGTTACACGTTTGGGACTCATTTTATTTCTCTTGTGTGTAAGTTTTGAGTTGTTTCTTTTTGACACAGGTAAAGCAAGTGTGGATAAATCCAAAACCTGCGGAACTGCTGCTGGTAATTCTTGGGCTACTCCTTCCTTTCTCTCTGCAGTAAGATCTTCCAGTACCCCAGAGTATTTTATCTGAATTAAAAAGTCAACAATCTGTGATTTCAGGGTTTTTGGATGTAGGGCTTTTAAATAACCATTCCCAGGGATATTAAATATCTGTGAAATTGGTGCCTTCCTTGTCTTCATAATAACACATTTGGGACTCATTTTACTTTTTAAGGCTCTACATGTAAGTGTCTTTCTCTGCCTCTTAGATTCAAATAGATCAGGTGGGGAGGCATCCAAAGACCCCAGGACAGTTGCTTGTACATATTCTTTAAACTCTGCCTTTTCCTCTTTACCATGATCGTACAGGTCCCCCGTACGTCTCCCATTACTTGGGACATCACATTTCATTGTATCAATTAAAACTCGACCAATTAGTGATTCCTTTGACTTTAGAAAGGGAAGGGTTGAACTCGCTGACCACACCGTGCCATTTAGTGTCTGCTGGCTTCTCTTTGGCTCCTCTGCCTGGGTTGGATCTGGAAGGTGTGTTTGTCGTGGGACGTCTTGTTCTGTAACAAACAGAATTTTCCCATGTCCTTTGTTTCCCCATTTGTGAAGGTCAAGCTCCTTCCTCTGGCCTGAACAGAAGATGAAATGCTGGCCGTGCTGTGGAATTATCTTTAACAACATCTCCTGTTCACCTTCTTCTTCCTCTTCATCTTGAAGATTGGTTTCTTTGGTGTCACCTGGAGTAATATTACCTTCATGTGGTGATATCTCTCGCTTTACTTGTTTATAACTGAGTCTTTTTTCCCCTAACATGTTTTTTTCCCTTTCTCTCTTGCTATACCTATTAACGGCAGGTATAATAGACGTGAGGGAGTACCTGGCGTCTGCCATTTTTTCACCTTGACCCACCTCTTTCATTTTGGTTGTTGAGTTATATCCCAATTCTTTTCTATGATTTGGGCTAGCACCAGCCTTGATATTGAGCATGTTTGAAATTGATGGTTTCTTTGCTTTTAAAATTCCACATTTGGGCTTCATTAAGGTTTTCATGTCTGAATACTGTTTGAAATTTCTCTTGCTTTTGGATATAGATAAAGAAGACAGGCAGAAATCTAAAGTCACTGTCTCTTTCTTTTCAATACCATCAGCTTGTTCCTTTTGATGGTTTGCATCAGATGGAACACCACATTCTCTTTCAGAAAATATTTGTTCATCAATCTTTGCTTCTCCTGACATTGGAGGTGAAAACCTAGCATAGCTCTCTAGCTTTCTAAGTTGAAACTGATCCAATGTAGGGCATGAAGCAGAGCTTAAAATAATCTGTGCAAAATGTGTTTGTGGTTGTACCTGAATATTTATACCTCCTGGTTGTTTCGGTTCCTCATCTGATTTGACAAGGTCATGATCCTTCTTCTGATATATATTGAATATGAGGCTTTGGCAAGTCTCTGGAGCTGGTAAATCTTGTTCCCTTGCCTTCTCTGCCCCATCTTTCACACTGTTAGATAAACTACTCATATTGATAGAATCTGGGCAACATATTTTTCTTCCATTTGGCGATTTCCCTTGCACTAGCTGCATATGACTAAGTCTTGTTACCGTTTGCATATCTGTCTCCACATTTAATCCAATACTCATTTTGATGTTGGGCAAAGTAGGCACCTTGAAGTGAATGATATCCAAAAATGCATCTGCTATATTTTTATTTTGTTGTGGATTCTTCATCTTTGTTTTTAAATTGCATTGCAGTGCCTTGCTCTGCCTGCCATTAAGCATATGCAAAATTGATGGCTTTTGTTCTCTCATAGTTCTATACCTACAACTCACTGTTTTGTGCTTCCTTGCTAATTTTAATATGTTTTGCTTCCTTTTAGATTTAGAAACAAAGGGGTCAACCGAATCAGAAAACTGTGGGAAGGTCACTTGCAAATTTTCTGGTAACTCTGAATTTTTCCCCACAAAATAAGAATCTAGTTCCCTTTTAAGGTTTCCACCAGATGGTAGGCCACACTCTGTTGTAGTGTTCAAAAGTTTATCAAGTGATGAGTTCCCTGCCTCAGGAGCTGGAATCTCCAGACTTGTAGGGGCTGTTATGTCATCTTCTGGTTTGTTGATCTTCTGGAGTTCCTTAGCTTCTCGAGGACCCATCTGGAGGCCAGTCTGCAAAGCAGTTTGTGTAAAGCATGTTCGGTGCTGTATATCTTGTTCCTGTGTTAAACGGTCCAGTGCTGGGTCTGGTTTGGCAAGGTGGGTCTCTTTCCCTTGATACCTATTGATCCAGAGGTACTGGGTATGCTGCAGAGCAGTTACTAGCAATGTTTTTTGCTCCTCTTCCTCTCCGTCTTGTACTTTTTCTTCTCTGTCATAGAATGCACTACTCTTATCAAAGAAATCAACATACTGTGGTCTCCCCTCACCTGCTAGTCCCTGGAGCTTTACTTGAGCATGGCAGAAGCTGTTTGTCTCTTCTTGTAACCTGCTGTACACAGGAGAGTAAAGGGTGTTTAGAAATTCATAAACCAGCCCATTAGCTTGGTTGATCTTTTCAAACTTGGCCTTAAAGTCAGATTCCAGTTTCTCTCTATGACCTGTGATATTACATATTTGTGAAATTGATGGCTTCAATGCCTTCATGTGTACAGACTTGGACTTCACTCTACTTTCTAAGTGTGAGAATCTTACTCTATTTTTCTTCACTTTAGAATGAGATAAAACAGGCATGTGGCAAATAAAAGTCTCTGGGAAAATTGCTGGTAAATCTTTGGGTAACTCTGCCTTTGTTTCTGCAAAAGAATAAACCATTTCCCTTGTATCACTTCCATAATCTGGGACATCACTTTCTCTTGTTGTTAAAGGGTCTCCAATGAGTGATTTTTCTGATGCTGGAGGAGGCATCTCAGAATGTGCAGTGCATCTTAAATCTGTTTGTGTGGTCAGGCTTTTCTTCATATTCTCAGCATGAAATGGATCTGTTATGGCTGAGTAAACAGACTCCATCATGATCTCTGCAAATGTGATTGGTTGTTGCATTTCTTTCTTCATTTTAAGCTCTTTCTCTGGATATGCGTCCAATCTGAGGTTCCAGCAATCCTCCAGCACTGCTTCTGGTGAAGCTTCTTTGTCCCCACTCACTTCATCTTGCAATTTAGCTGCTTCTGGTGTGTCTCCAGAGTCACTTCCTTTAGTAATGGTATCTGAACACTTTTCTTCTCTTTCAACTTCTGATACCTCTTGTTTTAGCTTGGTATGACTGTGATTCTCTGCATTTAATCTGCTGTGTGTTCTAATATGAGGCAAAATAGACACGTGAGGGTCAATAACATTCAGAAGCATATCTGCCACAGTTTTATCTTGCAGTATTTGTTTAATCATGATTTTGAAATCACCTCTCAATCTTCTTCTATGATGTATTGGTGGTGTCTTTACTTTCATAATTACATGGTTGAAACGGAGTACATTTTTGGTTTCTGGTAATTTTTTTCTGATTCTCCGCCTTTTCACACTTGATAAAGGAAGCATACGCCTATGGAAAGACCCCAGGGCAACTTCAGGTAAAACTCTTTTTAAGTCTTCCTTTTCTTCTGCAATTTGATCATCCAGGGGCTTTCCGGGGCTTCCACACAATGCGACACCATGTTCTGTTGTTTCAGTTAAAACTGGCAAGCTCTCTGACACTGTAAGAGGATGCACTGGATCTGCAGTTTCCCTGCCTGTAGGTCTGTCTGTGCTTTGCTTCACCTTCTCAACTTGAAATGGATCCATTGTGGGGCATGGACCAGTCCCCACAATTGTTTCTGTAGAAAGAGTGTGTGGTTGTACCTCTAGCTCTTCATTTTGAGTTGTTCTACTTTCTGAACAGCTATGTCCTATTTCAAATTTGACGTACTTGGGCTTCTGCTTTAGTTGTAGACTGAACCTGAAACCTGGTGTTAGCTGTGGATCTGCTTCTTGTAGAGCCTGTTGTTCTTCCTCTCTGTCATGTTCCTGTGGTTTTTTAAATATACATCTCTTCTCAATGTATTCTGCACTCCATGTTTTCTTGTCATCTGGTAATTCGTCTTGCTTTACTGCTGAATGACTAAGCCCTATTCTTGATGTATCTCTCTTGGTTTTTAATCCACTCTGCGTTTCCATATGAGGTGGTTCAGAAAGGGCAGTGTGAGTGGCATCGTGAAATGCATCAGATATTCTTTCATCTTGCCTATTTTTTATGCTGCTTCTAGTGTTGCATTCAAGTTCCTCACTTTCACTTAGGTCACCATCTTCTGTAACATTAACTATTAATGGTTTCTTTTCCTTCTCAATTACACCTTCTGGACTCTCTTGAATTTCTACACCTGCTGATTGTTCACTGCTTTTATGCTTTTTGGTTCCTAGTGAAATGAGCAAGTTGACATCTGAAGACTCCAGAACAATTTCAAGAAAATCTTCTTTTTCGTGGCTATTTCCCTTTGGAAAGCACCTTTGCATTTCTGATGTACTAGTTGGTAACTTCTCTCCATTTGTAAGTAGAAGATGTGAATTCTCTGTACTTTTTAGGTCCTCCCATGTTTTCTTTCTTCTGTCTGACTCCATTTTGGGAGAGGAATCAAATTTCTGCAAAGGTGCTGATATAGCTTCTTCTAAAGGTGTCTCATGCTTTGCAATATGCAGGTCAGATGTTTTTTCACTATTTGGGGCACAAAACTCTGCAATATCGATTTCCTTTGCTTGTAAAATTGGGTCTTTAAGAGACTCTTTATTCTTCCAGTTTGTTCCTATTAATGAAGAACAAGGTGCTTTTTGTTTATAAGTATTGACCATGAAAGACTCTTCTAGCTGAGGTGGAATTTTTGGTGAAATGTTTTTTAGTTCTTTATTGTCTCTGCCATGATGCTTTTCATTTTTAGTACTCCCTGAGGTTCCTCTTTTCTCAACAGGCCCCGCATAGTTGACTTTCTCTGCGTACAGTGACTTATTTTGCTTCAGCGGAAAATGTCTACATCCTGTTAAACCTGGCATAAATTTCACTAGTCTTTTCCTGGAATACTTCCTAATATAAGGAGGAACAAGCTTGAAAGCACAAGTATGACACAACGCTATACCTGATATACCTTTTCTTTGATGTAACTCTTTCTTCTTAGTTTTATACCTGTGTCTTAACTTGCTACATTCTGAAGTGTGACATACTGTGATTTGAAATACCGGTGAAGTTGGTGTTTTCTTTGACTTTTGAGGTGGAACTTTGAGACTAAATTTACTTTTACTATGTAATGTTTTTCTTCTGTTTTTCTGCCTGGTCATGGTAGGTGAAAGAGGCACTGAGCCATATGCAGGATACTGGTTTAATTTTGAGCTAGCAGTTTGTTTCTGGCCCTTTGTCTTTACACTCTTTAGTTGTGGCATCACTTTAGCAACTGAATTTGGGCTTAGAGTTAAAACTAGATGTCTGGCATTATTAAAAACATTATTTTGCCCTGGGATTGAATATTGAATCTTGTTTGAATCTTCAAACCAAACAGAATATTGGGCCTCTTCTGAGTGTTTTGTATCAGACTCTAGGTCCTTGATTGAACCTTGAGTCTCAACAGAATGTGGGACTTGGACCAAATGTTGGCTCCTGTCCCTATGTTGGGTCTGGAAGGAGCCTTGTGTGCTGCTGGTAAGTGGTTTCCTCATCAAATCTTGAGGCAGAGCAACGTATCTGGCCTTGATATCAGGCTGGCTATTGATTGATTCCTGGTTGTTAACAAGTTGTTGGGCTTGACTAGTAAACTGGGCTTCAGAAAAATCTTGATTCGGGAGAGAACTTTGTCCCGGAAAAGAATCTTGTGCTTCGGCAGAAATGTCCATTCTAACAGAATGTTGATTCTGAATCAAGGGCTCTTGAGACCTTGAGTACAGATAGGTAGTTTTACTCTCTAAAGTAGCTTTGGATGTTAAAGGAATTTTATTTCTCACATTTTCTTCCAGAAGTCTGACTTGGTCTCTAGAAAGAAATAAATGGGCAGGAGGGCGTGGTGCCACATCTAGATCTTCACTTTCTATAATGATTCTAGAAATTCTTGAAAAGTTAACGTCAGAAGAAAACATCAAATTTTTATTTTCGTTGGCTTTCATTATGGAAGATAATTTCTTAGATGAAAACTGTATTGTTTCATGCTCGTTTTCAGGACACCCTCTGCACCTTGGAAAAATTTCCTGTACTTCTGAATGAAACAGTGACAAAGACGAGCTAGTACTATCTGAAGATGGCTCATGACTTTCACTAAAGTGACGTATGCGATATTTACTTTCACTGGTACTTGCCCATGTTGGTTCATCTGGCAATGAAACTCTGTCTCCAGAGTTACCTTCATTTCCTTCAGATGTAAGTGATGAAGTAATTGTTCTTTCTGAGAAGTCATCAACGCTGAATATAAGAAAAGAGTGTGTAAATCAGTTGTCACTGAGGACCTATTTCCTACAGGAACTCTCTTTTAGATTTAAGGAAACCCAATAGAGTATATAAAAACATAGCTCAATATAGAGATAAACTGGAAAGTCATTGTCCACATTACAAAATTATTCATTACCTAGTGTCATTCACTTAATAAATCAATCCACTGACAAAGTGAAGTAAATTATTTTCATATCTAGGAGAATGAGGGATTTTTCCTCAAAAACCTGTCCAAAAGTCTACTTTTGACTGTCTATTTTGACAGTCAAAGTTGCAGGTTAAGATTATATCCTTTTAAAAGGAATATCAGTTTGTTTCTGTTCTCTGTACGAAAGTTTTGACAAGAGTAAAAATATCCTTATGGAACTTTAAGAGGTACCACAGAAGAATGTCCAATACCATAAACTATAGCTTTCTATAAATAAGTCCAGATTATTTTAACAGCTGTTTGTTTTTGATCAAGAGAAAAGCCTACATTTTAGATAGTGCTTCTCAACATACTTTTGGGTTGAAATAATGATCATGGATGTGGACTCTCCAATATCCTTTCTACCTCAAATGATTAGGCTTGGTCTAACAATGCTCAGACCAGCAGCATCAGGGTCACTTGGGAAATGATCAGAAATGCAAAATCTCAGGCCCCACCCTAGACCTACTGAATCAGACACCTGGGGATGGGGCCCAGAAATCTGAGTTTTAACAAGCTTTCCAGGTGATTCTGATGCACCTTAAGTTTTGTTTAATGGTAAGGCAGCCTAAAGTCATCAACTGAAACTCATATAAGCTAAGTCAGAAATTCTGGTAGCTGTTTGTTGAGGGAACATAGATTATCTTGTACTTTACTGGAAGAATGACCCTATTTTTAAATAATGCTTCATCATAAACAATGAAGATAATATATGAAATCATCAAAATATACCCCATCACAAAAATCATTTTTTCTAAATGCTTTTTTTTTTTTTTTTTGCGGTATGCAGGCCTCTCACTGTTGTGGCCTCTCCCGTTGCGGAGCACAGGCTCCAGACGTGCAGGCTCAGCAGCCATGTCTCACAGGCCCAGCTGCTCCGCGGCATGTGGTATCTTCCCGGACCGGGGCATGAACCCGTGTCCCCTGCATCGGCAGGCGGACTCTCAACCACTGTGCCACCAGGGAAGCCCTCTAAATGCTTTTTTATACAGGAAAATCTCATTGATTTGGATTCTGCTAATTAGAATTTGGAGTAGTTTAGGCTAAACTAGTGATTGCCTTTTTTCATAGAGAACACAAAATTATTAGGTGAATATTTAAAATATGTTAAATACTTCTTCAACTTCTCTCAACTGTTAAGAGAATTTATTAACATCTAATATACAGGCTGTATACACATCTTTGTTACCAACTGTGATGGTTAATTTTATGTGTCAACTTGACTGGGCTGAGGGATACCCAGAAAGCCAGTAAAACACTCTTTCTGAGTGTCTGTGAGGATGTTTCCGGAGGAGATGAGCATTTGAATCAGTAGACTGAGTAAAGAAGATATGCCCTCACCAACTGGGTGGGCATCATCCAATCCATTAAGGGCCTGAATAGAACAAAAAGACGGAGGAAGAGCAAACTCTCCCTCTCTCTTCTTGTTTTTGTTTTGTTTTTGGTTTTTGGTTTTTTTTGCGGTACGTGGGCCTCTCACTGTTGTGGCCTCTCCCGTTGCGGAGCACAGGCTCCGGACGGAGCCATGGCTCGTGCGCTCAGCCGCTCCGCGGCATGTGGGATCCTCCCGGACCGGGGCACGAACCCGTGTCCCCTACATCGGCAGGCGGACTCTCAACCACTGCGCCACCAGGGAAGCCCTCCCTCTCTCTTCTTGAGACGGGACATCCATCTTCATCCATCCTGCCCTGAGACATCAGGGCCCCTGGTTCTTGGGCCTTTGGACTCTGAGACTTACACCAGTGCTGCACACCCCCTCCCCGCAGGGCTTCTGCCTTGGACTGAATTATATCACTTGCTTTCTTGGTTCTCCAGCTTTCAGAGGGCACATCATGGGACTTCTCAGCCTCCATAACCATGTGACCCAATTCCTATAAATCTCCTTTTATATTTATCTATCTATCTATCTACTAATCTATATTCCATTGGTTCTATTTCTCTGGAGAACCCTGACTAATACACCTACCCATTATCTTTAGTATCATGTCACCTTTGGTAACACCGTTTGTCCTTACGACTAGAGCCAAATTGGGAGTTGCAGTAATGATCATGGATGTGGACTCTTCAACATTCATTCTACCCCAAATGATTAGGCTAAATCTAACATGGTAATTAGATTAGGAATGGGCATGAACTAATCCCAGCATAAGACAAAGATTTTTAACAACTTCTGGGAAAAGTTGCCTTGTTCCCAGGAAAGACAGAGAAAAAAATGGCCTCTTACTTCCTCTGGACAATGCTGGTCTGATTTTGAAACTCTTGTGGCCATCTTTCTGTTCACCTTAAGGTAAAACCAACATGAGGAAAAGGCAGAGGGAGAGTTACAGGACCTTAATGAAGTTGTTGAGGCACTGTATCAACCAATTTTGAAGCAAATCCTACCTCAGGATTTCCTATTATATGATTATTATAAATTCTCTTCTTGGTATGCCAGTTTGAATCATGGTTTTCTGTTACTTGAGAATTAAAATATTCTAACTGATACAGGCAGGATGCATAAGCATTCTAGGGAATCCAGGTGACCCTAACAAGTTATAGCAGTGTCCAGACATAATTAGGATAAAATTTCCTCCGGACAGGCATATTATTCACTTAGGAAAGTGAACAGTGAAAATATGAGACATATACAGAGTTAGTTTTTTGCACGTTTCAGGGAAAATATAGAAAAAAGCTGAAATGCAAGACCAATATTTCAACAATTTAATATTATGATTTTAAACATAATAAAACAATGCTAGATGTATGTTGAACCAACCTTGCATTCTTGAGGATAATCCCACTTGGTCAGAGTATATAATCCTTTTAATATGCTGCTGAACTTGGTTTGCTAGTATTTTGTTGAGGGTTCTACATCTATATTCATAAGGGATATTGGTCTGATACCTAACTTGTATACCTTATATAACTATTTGTCTTTCCTGCTCTGGAGAGCTTCCAGACCACATATTCTCCTGGGTATCCTTCTAACCCACTGGTAGCTCTTTGTCAGTCTTCTTTGCGGGTTCCTCCTCTTCCTCCTGCCCTCTTTGAAGCGCCCCAGGGCTCAGCCCCTGCTCCTCTTTTCTTCTCACAGTCCCTTTGTAATCTCACCCTCTCTGTGGCTTTTAATACGGCCTATGTGCCAAGAACCCCCAAACTCACTGTCTCTACCAGACATCTCTCCCAGACTACTTACTATCTCTATTGGATGCCCAATCAATCTAAGACTCAACAGTTGCAAAACAAAATTCCTCATCTCCCCATCAAAACCTGCTCCAGGGCTTCCCTGGTGGCGCAGTGGTTGAGAGTCCGCCTGCCGATTCACGGGACACGGGTTCGTGCCCCGGTCCGGGAAGATCCCATATGCCGCAGAGCGGCTAGGCCCGTGAGCCTTGGCCGTTGAGCCTGCATGTCTGGAGCCTGTGCTCTGCAACGGGAGAGGCCACAATGGTGAGAGGCCCACATACCACAAAAACAAACAAACAAACAAACGAACAAAAACCCTGCTCCACCCACAGCTTTCATCATCTCAGTTGATGACAACTGCACCTTTCCTGCTTGCTCAGGTAAAAATCTTGGAGTCATCTTTGACTCCTTTCTCTCACATCCACACACTCCACTGATTCTACTTTTTGAAGTATATCCTAACCACTTCTTACCACCTCCACCGCTACCACCCTGGTTTAAGTTACCTTTATCTCTCACTTGGATTACTTGCAAAAACCTGCTGTCTGCTTAGACCCTTGACTCAGTATAGTCTACTCTCAACACTGCAGGCAGAATAATCCTTTAAAAATAGAAGACAGAACATATCATTCTCCCGCATAAAACCCTACAATGATCCTCTGTTGTCACTCAGAGTAAAAGCCACTGTCTTTAAGATGGCCTGCAGGGTCCAACCATGATCTGGTCACCTATTCTCTAACCTCTCTAATACTCTTCTACCATTTCTGTTTGGTTAACTCCCCATCCCTCCAAGGCTTTAGTCAAATCCCACCACATATGTTGCACCTACCTCTCTTCTCCTACTTCTGGCACCCTGATTCCTCTTACCCTACACTATCTTTTGTTTTACCATATCACATATAATTATCACTACCTCCCATATAATTTATTTATCATGTTGTCATTTACTATCAGACTCCCCTCTGTCTAAAACATAAGGTGGGAAGCAATGTCTGTTTTGTTCACCGCTGTATCTCAAGGGCCTGCAGCACATTGTAGGCCCTCAGTAATATTTGCTGAGTGCCCATTTTCACCTCTAGCTTTCTGATGGCTAACGCTTGTCCACAGCAAGCTGATCCAGACATACAACCCAACCCGTTCTTCAGGTTCAATGAAGGGGGAAAAATACACATACACAAACCACCCATACATGTGGCTAACTTCAACGAAAAGCTAGAGGCAGATATAGAAGGGAGTTAACTACAGCAATACAAGCAACTCCCACTTAACCGTTAGGTATGTCTGTGTATTTTTTAAATGTCCTTTGGCCTCTCCCCACGAGGGAATCTCAACTGGCCTTGGAAAATTTAAAAAGAACTCCCCATACTCCTAGGAAAAGACTCACAGCTCTATAGCCATGGCAACAAGTAAGTACTAGAAGTGGTTGTAAATCAGTTAAATCAATCAATGGCGTAGAGTCATAGCATAATCCTAGTCATAGTAACAAACACCAAATCTGCTTTTAAACAATTTTGTCTATCAATGGTAACTCGCTTCAGGAAATACACTTCTGAAACCAACCAGTGACAGCTTTAATCTTTGAAACTCAGGCAACTGATGGCAGACTTTCCCAGGAACACACATCTAAGGCTGAGGTCAACCCTGAAACAAACCATTTCCCAAAACTCAATGGATATAAGATCAGCAGTTTGCATGGCTCACCGAGACTCTGCCTGGCCAGCACGGCTCTCCCTGACTCCGGATACTGAGTGGTAGGCTCATCCTTTGACGTCCTTTGTGCCATTCGGTCCTGAGCCCCACATGCTTCCCCTGCTCCTCCCTGTTCTCTGCCCACCCCTCCCCTTTCTCTTCTCTCTCATCTCATAAGCAAGACAAAACCCACTCAGTCTCTGATGCAGTGCAACTTTAATCATCTTTATGCTTGAGGTTCTACCAATATTTAAGCCCTTTTACCTCAAAATAATTTAAGAGGCTCTCCCAAATATAATTCTACCCCAAAAAGGAATTCTGGTGCCAAGGTAAAATATTTTTGCTTTGTTACACATATCATTTTAACGAATCTTCATGACATTCCTAAGAGGTAATTCTTCTACCTGCTATTTTGAAAGTAAGGAAAAGGAGTGAGTTTAAGTCATTTGCTCAAGGCCATGCCATCATTTAGAGGCAGAACTATGACATACACCTAGACCTTTGTAATTCAAAATGTGTTTTTTCACTACAATGTAGTACTGCCACCATGGAAGCCATATCTCTTTCCTAACCCTTTTCCCTCAACACCATCTCCCTCAATCTCTTCTTCTCAATTACTTTTCCCTAAAGCCTATTAAAAGTATTTAATTGCGCCTAAGCAGGAATGGAATAATGGCACAGAGGGATGGGGAAACTCTCAGATTATCTTGATCCTGGTGCTAAAAGTCCTTTTCCCCCCACTTCCTCTTGTGGCTTCCTCTCTTGTCTGTCAATCCTCTGGCTTTTAGTTCCATGAGAATCTTCAATCTCAGTGCACACCTAAGCGCTGTACGCCTCAAACACCAACTCCTGGTCTGTCCAGTTGACTTCTGGATGGTCGTTTATGGTGGATGCACTTCTGAGGTGTCCTGGTTTGCTCTGGCATTCCTGTTCCCAGCCAACCCCGACTGGGATTCCAGCTCCCCGTACTTCCAGATACTGTTACTGCTTCTCAGGACACCCACTTTATAACTAGAGTTGCTAGTACTCAATATAAAAATAGAGCAACCAGGTTAAATGAATAAAGCCCCTTTACACCTGACAACTGAAAGAAATTAAAGTAATTTTCAGACGCATACTCCACACAGGTAGCTACTAGTGATCTAGCTATAACACAAAACTGTGTCACTCCTACGCTTAACCACCTTCAGTGGCTACTCACTATCAGAATCAACTCCAAGCTTCTTAACAGGGTATAGAAAGTCCCCCATGATCTGACTCCTGCATATTTTTTCACCTTCATCTCCCACTACCCTCTGACTCATCCTTAGCATTCTAGCAACTCTGAAATCATAATTTATTGCACATACCCTGTTCCTTATTTCCTTGCCTCTGCTCATGGCTTATAATTGCCTTTCTTATCCTCCCAACCCACTGTCTTTTTCTGACTAATTTTCACTTATCCTTTAAAATTCAGCTCCAGTATAACCTTCTTCATGAAGCCAGCCCAACACCCCTATGCTGGCTTAGGTACCTCCTAGATGTTCTCATAGTACTCCTATCACTGTGTTACTGAACTGCAAGCAATCATCTCTAGATCTATGTCTCCTCCACAAGAGTATAAGCTTCCGGAGAACAGATACCATCTTATTAATTGTATCCCAGTATAAAACCCAGTGTCCATTGTATAGGGATATCTAATGATTGCTGAATGGACTTTGATGAAACCGATTAAGATACTGATAGCAACAAGAGTAGTGATGTCTGTATTTAATCTCTAGCACTCAGGCATCAGCATATCATATGCTGATGATATAAACTCATTTCATGTCACTCTTGCAGCACTTAGCTCAGGATCTGCTCGGTTCACAGTAGGTGCTAAATGAGTATTTTTCAACTGAATTTTCAGAACTGGTGATTATTACTTCATGTGTACTGGAGAGAGAGGATGGGGTAAGGAAGCAAGCCACTTAACCTCTCTAAGCTTTATTTTCCTCATTTGTACAAACGGTAATGAGTCTACCTACCTAAAAGGATAATTTCAATAGTACATAAAAAGCCATTTAACACAGCTTGGAACAGAGCAACCATTTAAAAAATCAGAGTTTGACTGAATTATGATGTTGAACAGCTGTCATCCTCTATACAAACGGGAAAACCCTTTTCTGTAATTCAGATGTAATTTTGAGTAGAACAAAACCAACCTGTTTCATCTAATTTCAAAATACATCACTTACCTTTCTTCTGAAGATGAATGAATTGACCAGTTACCTAGAGATAAATGGGAATAAAAAATGTCAGAGCACCAAAAGGAGCAGCTCAGGCTGAACAAGTTTTATATTAAAATATTAAATTGTAGGATACTTACCAAATTTCATGCTTTTAAGGCAACTGTCTTCTTTCTGTTTCAAGGGAGACAATAAAATATTAGAGTAATCCAAATATCAAACTTCCACAATTGTATAAGTTATTCTTATGTGTTACTTTGAAAAATCGGGGAAAAGGAAATCAAGCATTTGTTCTTACCTTGTGGGCATCTGTATTATCCTTTTCTGAAGGAAGTGCAAGCTTCTTCTGAAAGGCTGTACAAATCTTTATGAGTATTATCTCAAAGATAATTCCCAGAAATATTATAAATAAGATTGCCATCCAATTATCTTGAGAAGTCCAGGACTCTAGAAGGTCCCATAATGTCAAAAATGCATTATTTTCCAACACACCCACTTTTTTTAAGAAATAAAATTGCTTTGACATTTTTATGTTATGTGAAATAGACTGATGTCTTCATTCCAAAGTCCTCGATTGTGGATGCCCCAAAACACAAAAAGGTGGTATGCCCATCTCATAACCACATGCAATGCTCTGCCAGAAAAAAAAGGTCCAGTGCCGCCCAGTGCCTTGTCAAGTGCAGCAGTGATTGCTCTGGGTCTAAGAAAAGTGAGGTACGTGTCATAGTGGGTATTTAACTGAGCTCACATCAACTTGATTTTTTAGTAAAATAGAACACCTCATTTTATATTTCTTTTTGTTAGAGGGGTCTGTCAGCCATGTTCCTCTTCGACAATCTACTGTGATGCTGAAAACCCAAGTTAGATTATGGTAGATTTTGGAGTGGTCTCCTGGTGAATTTCCTCTTCACCCTGTTTCTGTTGATTCCAAGGAGCAGCTACTTGTGACGCTTGCTGATGTCAGAATTAGGGTGGGGCAGAGCCAGATCTAAGCACTGCTCGCCTTCCCTCAAAGTCTAGAGAGTAGTTTAGTCACAAGTATACAAAAAAGTCTGGACTATTAATGAAAATATTAATACTACCTTGGATTTAGAGCACTTTCCCTTTGAAGACGTAATGAATTAATTCTTCCTTTGTCTTCACTTATTCAAGGTCGGTTGAGGAAAGAAGTATAATTCTTTACACCAGAGTTAACTGTTCAGGCCTCTTCTGTCACATAACTTTAACTGAGTGCAAGAAGGATTTATTGAGCTCTTACTTTCCTTGAGTATTAGAGATAATGAGATCAATGACGCATCCTAGGAGTTTACACTCTCCCTACTGGACCATAGCCGACAGGTATTTATGATCTTAATTTAGTTTAACTGTGATCATGGGGTTTGTCTTTGCAAAGTATAGCTCTCCGGAATGCATGGTAGGCATTCCTTAGTTCTAGAAGAAACTTCAACAATTCCTCTGGATTTTTCTAGGGTAAGGTCCACCCTCCTCTCTGACTCCCCATCCATATACACGATCAGGGTGATTTTATTTCTGCTGGGGTTTTCTGTAATATTTAATGCAGCTGGCAAAATACTCAATTTCTCTTGCCTGATGGCAGACATTCTCTAATTCATTTAATGTTAACTATCTTAAAGGGGGTTGAGTGTTTTAACATTAAGGAACTCTCTAATTCCTTAGATCTTTTAGGGCTTGATGACACTGAATCCCTAATTAGTATACCACGAATAGCTCTTATAAGAACTGAAAAGGAACTTCTGTGTACCACTCCCGCTGATGCTTAAGTCTGCAGAGAGGTAAAGAAGAGTATCCCCATCCCCTCCAGGGCTTTGTCATTTTTGCTATTTAAGTACTTGACTACTAATAAAAGTACAATTACCTATTTTTCAGCATAGACACTTCTGTCCTTTGCACTAGAAACCTCTTCTTATGTCAATCTCAAGTGAGCAGCAAAAAAAAGTAAATGCTATGTTTATTTTTAAAAGTCACGAAGACAATAAAAAATAACAGCAGAGAAATCCCATTACTAACAGTAATATAGATACTGAAAGAAAACACCCAGAAAAAAATTCTATTTTTAAAAAATATATATCTACCAATGCCACACTCTTTGAACTATTTGGACATTGTGAACTAGGTTTTTGTTCTTTACATGTAAAGAGAAAGTCCCAGTAATAAGTGTATAAAATAGCAATATAAAACCAAGGTTATTAATATCTTAGTTCAATACAAGGATTTATTGAATAATGAATGACTAAGGCACTGAGCAAGGAACACCAAGTGCTTTATGGATACAAAGATGAGTAAAACCATTCCCTGACCCGAAGCAGTATGTAATTAGTTGTATAGAGCAAATATGTCAATAACCTCTGAAAAGGCAGAGTGTGAATAGCAACAGAGAAGATATTATGTGGCTCTGAAGGAGAGATGGCTGGAGTAATTCAAAAAAAGCTGTGAAGTGGGAAAGAGAATTTAAGGGCCTTGAAGGATGAGTATGATTTGGTAACAGACAAAGACTAACAAAGAAAAAAGTTTCAGGAAGAGAAGACAGAAAGACTTGTTCATAAACTTTGTGTATCCAGGTTAGCTGGAGTACTGTGTACAGGTTCACAGTGTGGGGGAGAGAAAATAAGGTTAAAATGTTGATAGGGCCTATCGTGGAGAGCCTTGAACTAAGGTCTTTAATCTTAATAGTCACGCTTGGAGATCCACCAAGTTTTTGAGTTAGAGGTGTCAAATGGTTTATTGAACCAAGGAGACAATAAAATAGTAAAATGAATTAGGCTACTGTAATTCATTTTACAGTATGGGGACATAATCAGACTTTGACACTGAAAACAGAGGATTTGGCAACTAAAAGGAAGCAAATGGATTCAGAAGTGGTGCAGAAAAGCTAATGGTGAAGGAGAAAGGATTTAAAGATAATCCCAAAGCTGGTTTGTCAAGGACTAGCTTCCTCAACCTAGGCATTACTGGCATTTTGGACCGGGTGCATCTTCGTAATGTCTGGTTGTCCTGTACACTGCAGGATATTAGCATATGCCTTTCTCCTACCTACGAGAGGCCAGTAGCAGCCCCACCCCAGCCGTGACAACCAAAAATGTCTCCAGACCTTGTCAAATGTCCCCTAGAGAACAAAATCACTCCCAGTTGAGAACTACTGATTTAGGTGAATGGTTGTGCCATTAATCAGGGCCTACCAGAGCCGGCGCCAGGATAGCTCTTTGACCATAATCTCAAACTTGAAGGAGCTGCACCCTTTCCCTGCAAGATGTGTCAATTCTGTGCAGAAGAGCAGATGGGACCTTTTCACAAATGTTTATTTTGGCCTTACACGTATCACTCATATCTTTCTCTAGCAGTTGTATCTTCCCTACCCATGGCTAGGTACACAGTTCTCAAATGACAAGCTACTTCATCAATCAAGAATAGTAGTTTCGGGCTTCCCTGGTGGCGCAGTGGTTGAGAGTCCGCCTGCCGATGCAGGGGACACGGTGCCCCAGTCCGGGAAGATCCCACATGCCACGGGGCGGCTGGGCCCGTAAGCCATGGCCGCTGAGCCTGCGTGTCCGGACAACGGGAGAGGCCACAACAGTGAGAGGCCCGCGAACCGCAAAAAAAAAAAAAAAAAAGTAGTTTCTCATAGATAACTCAGGGTAAAATCAACTTTAAATGACCTTCTACGACATCCCTATATTTATAGTAGTATCTTTGGTCATCCATATTATGCCTATAGTTTAATTTGAAAACTTGAATATTATAATTACATAGCTGGTTAGTAACATTTTAAATCTATTTCTTCATTGTACTTTTATATTATAGTCTGCTTTATAGTAAGTTTTCCTTTGTATTTTCCTTTTTAGTTTCACTTCTGGTTTACAGTATTAATATTTTCCATTTGATTTACACTTTAAATAGACCATTATTATATTTGTCAGCTCTGGTTAAATATTTTTTATAATATTTTGATCACTCTTGTTTTAAAAGTTAAGAATTATATACTATTTAAGTTAGGGCCTTGTTCAAGAAATTCAGTCAAAAAGTGAGTAACTATTGTACACTAAGTGACACGGAAATTTCAATTTTGAAGTTGTACATGATTTCATTCTATAATACACACAATTTAGATACCGTTATCTAGGTTTTCATTCTTTATGCACTATTTAGAAAAATTAACAATTAAAATCCATTAACTTCACCAGGGCAGGAGGAGTGAGGGACCTCAAAAATCTGCAAGCTTCCCAGGCCACCCTGGCTGTCTGAAGGGCCTAACTTTAGGACAGTAGAGAAACCAGGGAAGGGAGTTAATTTCCTACTATAGAAAACCACTGCTCACTACAAACTTATATATATATATATATATATCATCAGCCTCATCACATTTTCGTGTTCTTTACAGGAAATATAGAACCTATGTTTTTAATATATAACTCAGTACCATCCAAGTCTAGTCCAAGTGATACTTGCACTTCTCAAGGCAAAATTAAGTGCCCTAACTCTGCCTAGATACAGCACAGATGTTAGTCCCACTATTTACTCCTTATTTCATTCTTCCCTTAATCAGAGAGCTTTAGACATCAAGTTCCCCCACTATACCAAACTCCAAGTGTTTACTCATCATTGCAAACCTAATGAGGCTTTGCCTATAACAGGCCTTCAGTAAACATTTAATGAATGAAAGTTGTTACTTTATTCTAAAAACAATGTTCAGAGTCCCCATATTTGAAAATGTATCTTCATCCATCCCTTGAAATTTATTAAAAGATTAGGTTAATAGATGTATACACTCTATAAAACTGACTAAATTTACTAAAGTGTTGTTTTCCTTTCATAACGATGACACTGCTCTGCAAAATTAAGAGTACTTTCTCAGTTGCGCAGCAATAAGACAAAAGTTCTGTTGTAACAAAATTCAATGTTTAATTTTTCAAAACTTAACTATATTAAAGAAAATAAATTATATTTAGACCACCTTCAATATTTGTACATCATCTTTATACAACTATAACAGTGCTTTCAAAAGACACTTTGTAAAGGGCATTAATTTCACAATTAAAATGTGTTTTAAAAATGGGAGAACATTAAAGGACATTAAATTAGTCTGAAATGTATCTCATAATGCTGAGAGGTATGTTGTTCTTTAACAAATTAACTGTATTTGTATTCAAAATAACATAGCTTGTAACTACAGACAATTATTTCTTGTCCATTTCAGTGATTTCCTGGATCCAAAACAAAATCTGTGTATTTATTTCTTTGAAAACATCATTTGTTGACCGTCCTTTCACTGCCATGGAATGACTTGCTTTCTCAATCCAGTGGATTTTATTAGGAGCTTGCATTTTCTGTGCCACTTTCTCCAACAAGTTCTAAAGGGAAAAAAGAAGAGGATACTAATGTTCTACTGGTGTTCAGTAAAGATTTCCTCTCTCCCACCGCACCTATACTGGCATCATTCACTAAATATTAAAACCTAGTCTACAGCTAACTTTTGAGGCAATGGAACGTGCAAGAAGTGGCAGTCCATGTTCTTCAGATACAGCATACAGCAACACAACAGAACAGATTAGGTATTCATTACTGATGCTAAAAAGTCATTAAGTAAACCAGAGCCAAAAAAATTCTCTTAAAAAATGTTTTCCCCAAGGAAATTATTTATATGCTCTGGGAAATACACTAAAATTTTGTAATATGTACAAGTTACTTTTTTTTCAAGAGTCAACTTTATAACAAATTGAAGAGATCTGCTTAAATGTTGAAATGATAAACCAAACGTACAGTCTAGTAATCCGAAATTCACAAGATTCAGATATTAATCCTTCATTTTCTACGTGAGAGTTAATCCATTTACCAACACTCTTTACAGGGGGATGAATATATTTTTAGGTTCTCCAAAGCAACAGGGTTAACTAAGGAAAGAAACTAGCATTAGTAAAATCAGCATGTTTTTTAAAATTATTTATTTATTTATTTATTTACTTTTGGCCACAGCATGTGGGATCTTAGTTCCCCAACCAGGGATCAAACCTGCACCCCCGGCATTGGAAGCGCAAAGTCTTAACCACTGGACCACCGGGGAAGTCCCTAAAATCAGCATCTTTTTAAAGAGACTGAATGTTGCAGGTAATATCTTGTTCCCAAGATGTTTCTTTCATTCTTTCTCTCTCATTCACACAAATATCAAGTTATAATTCACCTTTTCACACATTTCATCTGCTGAGCCTGACACAAACAGTACAGGATCTTTTATACGAAATAGATCTTCATCTCTAAGTTTATGCTGCTGCTTTGGATGGTGCAGTGGATAGGAAATACAAATGAGACCTCGAACAAAATCATCAGCATCATCTGGCTCAATATGACACATTACAGAAGCAGCTGCTCTTGAGCCCATTGAACGACCTAAAACCAATTAAAATTAAGTTCAGTTTGAAATATAAACATTCACATAAAGTAGTGGTGATGATAATGTGGCAAGTCAGATTTCATTCACTGTTCATCCATCATATTGCTTATCAATAAATATTAACTACAACAGGTGCCAATTAAAAAGCTGCAATACCCAGAGACTTGTGAATAGCTAAAAACTGATCCTAAGTCAAATCTTAAAAAAAAAAAAAAAAAAGGAATTATTTTCCAAAAGAATACTTGAAGTGGTGAAGACAGTCCTTGGGAAGGAATCATTTGAGAGGGGGTGATTCAGGGATATAAATAAAAGGAGACCTCTTCAGGTTATAACACATATATATGAGGTTTAAATTAGATTTAAATATTAAAGTATCTTGGTGTTACACCAGCAAGTGACTTACCGAAACAAAACAAAAAATCCTTAAGTCTCTTCCTGTCTTTAATTTTAATTCTCAATTACCTATTCCTATATTAATATGAGTAGACTTTAGAACAAGTATTCACAAGTATTGAAAACTTACCTCCAAGGAAAACACCTGCAAGTTTGTATTCTCCTGAGGTCTTTAGGTAATTCTAGAAAAATCAACCAAAAAATTATCAATTCTTCTCCCATGAAATATTCCACTGGAAAACCAACATATATTTTCTCATCATTACTGAAATGTATGAAAATTTTTGCAAAAACAAGAAATTTCAAGGGATTCTTCTTGGAAGAGATAATCAATTCTTTGCTCTCTGGTCATGCCTTCACTGTCAAATCATAAACTGGGTAATACAGGCAAATAAGTGGAATAAAAACACTGTCTAAAACAAATTCAAGTCCTAAAATATTTTTAAAGAACAAATCGTGGAGGGAAGAAAAGCCAGTAAAAGCTTCCAACTAATACAAAATGTGATAATACTAACATCTAATTTAAAGCTCTGAAAAACTCAGTAAGCTTGAAGTAATCTGGATTAAAAGAAATTTCAGATTTGTTTTATCCAGGGATTTTATAGTTTCTAATAGAGAAATCACATATTATTTGTACATTCATAGTATACAAGGCAAAATACCTAGAACTATATATCCTAAATTTCAATATGTAAATTACATCATAAGTAGATTCTTTGGCAGTATCACGGAGAAACATTTATGATGTAAGCACTCATCCCCATGGAAACTAACTGATGGCAAAAAAGAGAAATCTGACCATTACACAGCCTTCATACACTGCTGAGTTTCTAAGAATACTCATTAAAGGATTTTTAAATTAAATCAAACGACTGCTAATAAAATGTCTTAAATTTATTATGAATTTTAAAAACAGAATTGTCGTAAGTAAATATAAAGAAATTTTCTTACCAAAACTGATTTATATGCCTTAATTCTATGTACAATATTAAGGCCTTTACAGGTAAATCTCAGGCTAAAAAAACCATGAGATGCAAGATGGGATGCCAGTGACATCAAATGAGGAAGATTCATATCTCCTGATGCTCCATGTGTAAGAATTATTCCATATGTTAAGCTCTTGTTAGGTACCAAACAAACAGCATCTAGTAATTTATTTCCAAAAGGTATTTTTAATTTAACCTGGAATTCAAGAGAATAAATGGATCAAAAATTACTTCCTTGCCTATTCAGACAAATGAATAACTATATATGTTTGTTCTGCAAGACCCATGATTCAAGTCACAGCCTCCAAATAAAAAGCAATGATATTAATAACTAATACTTAAGAAATACTTATTGTGTCAGGTACTATTATAACTGCTTTATATGTATTAAATCATTTAACATTCCTAAGAATTCTAAGAGGCAAGTACTGTTACTATCTCCATTTTATAGCTGAGAAAACTGAGGCACAGTAGCTTACATAATGTGCCCAAGGTTATATATCCAATTAGCGAGGATCCAAACTCAGGCAGTCTGCTCCAAAGTCCTCATTCTTAACCACTAATGCTATGCTGTCTCTCACAGTACAAGATGAAAATAAGAAAATTACTCTGGAGCCATATGACTACAAAAAAAAAAAAAAAAAAAAGGAACCTTGAAGATGCAGAATGTATGAAAATATGTATTACCTCTGTATGACTCATTTTCACTGTTGAATAACAAACTTAAAGTGCATTACATCTGAGAAGCAAAGGACATCTCCCTGAAAAGAAGATTCTGTTGTGAAAGGTGGGTTGGCAGACACAAGAACTATGAATGAACACACTCAGTAGCTAAAGTAAACATTTAGAACTACTTCTCTAAGAACTGATGTCTTTACAAGCACATTATTTATTTTCATTCCTACGGTCACTCAGAGTTTGTTATAGGACCAGGTGTGGGGCTGGCAGATGTTATTTAAGATAAAGCCAATGTGATATCTTCACATGGATGCCTTAAGAAAATTCATATCAAAGTAGGATGCTGTATCTTGGTAATGCTGTAAAAAAAAAAATATATATATATATATGTATTTTTTTCCCTAAGCATCTTTATTCTCAACCATCTTCAACTTAATTTCACAGCATCTTTCTATTAACCCATTTCCTTCGTCTTTATCATTCCCAGCTCTTCCTCTGACCCTGCAATGGAAGTACACATCCACACCCTTTGTCCTGAGACTCTGCAGAGCCTCCCAGCAGGCAGAGTGTAAATCTCCACCCTATTGCCTTTGGGCTTGGCTATGTGACTTGCTTTAATCAACACAATATGTCTCAATGTGCCACTTCTGAGCTGAGGCATGGCAAATTTCCAGAAGTGCTCTTGAACTCTTGCCTTCAGCCCTGAGAAAAACATGCTTCATGTATTTTTGCTTTTTTTAGCCTGGGTTCCAGAATGAAGACACATGGAGCAGACCAGATCCCAAAACTAAAGTCTGGAGTCCAGCCTAGTCCAACCAACATCTAAACCACTGAAGAACGATGAAGTGTCTACCTGAAGAACCAAGAGCATGAAATGCCGGGAGCCAGAGATTTCAGGGTTGTTATGAAGCATTCCTTCCTATAGTATGAGATCTTTTATTGTTCAGGATATCATCAACGTCAGGATCTCCATTGTTCATCTTTTTTCCCACTAACATTTACTAATTCATTCACTGAATAGATAATAACATGGTCCAAAGTTAAAAAGGTACAAAAATATACAGTGGAAAGTCTCTCCCTCATTCCACTTTTGCCTTACCATCCAGATCCTCTCTTCAAAGGCAACCAATATTCTGCTATCTTTCAGATATTTTATATATATACCTACAGATACACACATCTCCTTTTTCTTTTTATAAACTGGTGACCTACTTTTCTGAACCCCCCCCCCATATGTATCTTGGTGATTACTCATTTCCTTATACAACAAGCTTCTTGTTTTTTTATGGCTATAGAATATTCCAAGGAAGGGTTGTACATAATTTATTTTACCAACCATCTATCAATTAAAATGAGATTGTTTCCAATCTTTTGCTAAAACCATATTGCAATGAGTGGCACTGTACTTAACATTATTTTCACATGTGTGTAGACATATCTGTAAGAGAAATTCCTGTGTCAAAGGGTGTATTCACTTACAATTATTTTTTAAGAAATACATTTCATTTTTGAATAGGTAATATACGCACATGGTACACAATTTTAAAACAGTTAACAGTAGTTAAGTCTCCTCCCATTTTTCCCCCAGCCACAATGTTCCTTTCCCTTCCCAGAAGCAACCACTGTGACTAACTTACTGTGTATATCTTTCCCTTTATGTGTGTGTGTGTGTGCACACGCACGCATGTGTGCGCGTGCAAAATTCTCATATTTGAGCCTGAAGGGTATCAGACTGGCTGCAGAAAGTTCTGGGGTTTAAACTGGGGGATGATGGACTTCAATCTTCATTGTCCCTGTTTTCATAAAGGGAGCCTAGTAACTGTGCCCGGGGTCCCCTGGTTCAAAGATCCTGCTTTACGTTCTCAAGAGACCAGCCTCCAGTCTTCTAATGGGAGACAAGCAGAATCCAACGATGTGACACGGGGAGACAGCGCCGGCGGTCTACCTACTTCTCTGGCGCGCTTCACCGAGGTACAGCCCTCCACATCCATCCCCAGCTGCCACCTTCTGCACCTTCTGCACATTTCGAAGACTCTGTTTCTGACGTAGAACTGTTCCCCCAGCACTCCCTGCTGCTGGTTTAGAATTAAGCTGATCTGCTAAGGCTTGGGCTTTCTGGAGCTCAGTATCTTATTACTGTTGTTTCCTGTCGCATTTTCTTCATCCTTGTGGGTGTGCGCCTTTTTGAAAATCCCTTTGCTGTACTTTTAGTGGGATTTCAGGAGGGGGGAAAATTAGGTACACACGTATTCAACCCACCCTCTTAACCTAGAGTGCTCTGCTATCCGTCTGCCGGCCGTGGACGTTTGGGCTTTTTGCGCTGCCGCTGCCCTTTTTCTGGAAAACGCCCCTCCCTTCCAGACCTCATGGTGCACGCACAGTCTGTCCTCCCGCAACGGGGCGCGCAAGCTGGGCTACTCGGGAAACAGCGAAACAGCTGCAGGATGTAACCCCAACCTGGCCTAGACCGTCCAGGCTGTCAGCATGCCGGGCTCTGGGGGTCAGACGGGGCAGCGTCTCAGGTGCAAAGGCGGCCGACGCCACCAACCAACCTCGGGGAGGCTGCGAAGGTTCATCGCATGGAGTCGCGTGCCCACGTCGCGAGCGTTTTCACGCCCACGAGGCGACGGCGATCACATCTGATGCCGGGGGTCAGATGCCACCCCTCCCGTAGCCGTCCACGAGCAAAACGCCCGCGCCTCATCCACCGCGTCGAAGCGGGACGCTGGAAATCGCGGGGCTAGACGCCAGCCTTGAGAGTTCAAGTCCTCTGGGGGACGGGGGGGAGGTCGATAACCTGGCCGCGTCAACAACGAGCGGTCAGAGAGCCGACACTCCCGGAGCTCGGAACGCAAAGGCGCCCGACGACCGTCCGATTCCGCCCGCCGGCGCCGGGGCCCCGGCGACCCTCCCCGCTCGGAGACCGCCGGTGCCCGGCTCGCGGGACCCAGGCCGGAGCCGCTCGGCTCTCCCCGCCCGCACCGTCCCCTCACGCCGCCTCCTGACCGGCCGGCCGGCCGGAGCCCCAGCGGCCGCGGCCCGCGGGACTGAACCGACGCCTCACGGAGCCGCCCAACAGCCCCTGAGGGGCTACGGCCGCGAGCCCGAGACGCCTCAGGCGGGGCCGCAGGAAGCCCCCGGGCCCCTCGGAAGCCGTCCCCTATCTGGCGGCCCCAACCGCCACCGCCGCCGCCGCACTTACCGGGGACGGGAAAGTGGCCGGGAGCACCTAACCGCCCTCACTCTCTTCAGGGAGCGAACTTCCACACTCGAACTCGAAGGGACCGCCTCGCCGCACCCGCCAGTGCGTCCCGCTACGGCGCACGCGCACGCAGGCCCCACCCCCACACGGGCGCGCGAGCCGGCGCGCGGGGCACGCTGGGAGCGGGAGTTTTCCCGCCGCTGCCGGCGGGGACGCGGCGGCGGTGGCGTCCGCTCTCCGACGCGGGGGGCGCTGACGTGCCGCCACCTGTCGCTGCCTCAGCCCCGACTGCGTCCACTCAGCACCCTTCCCCGTCCCAGCCACTCCATTCCAGCAGTTGCACGGGCCAAAAAACGCGGGGTCAGCTCTGATTGTTCTCTTTTTCACACACCCCTCAGTCAATCCAGCGACCCCGCTTGTTCGACTGGCAAATAGGTACAGAATCCAACCACTTCTCACGCTAACACCAGACCCGCCCGAGCCCCACCACCGTCTTTGCCCGGATTATTGAAAGAGTTGGCCAAAGGGCCTCTCGTTCCCACGCCCGCCCGCCACCTTTCCGCTACTTATCCACGCAGTGACCAGCTGGACCCCATTGAAAGGTGAGCCTTCAACTCAACGCTTTTTGCAAAGGCTTCCCGTCTCGCCCGTAATCAGAAGGTTTCATACGATCGGTCGCTTCCCCTCTTACCCGTTTCCTACTCATCTTGTTTCCCCGGCTCCTTCAGCTCTAGACGCCCGGGCCTCTTCACTCCCCTCACACCCAAACCCACCAGGCGAGGCCTCACGACAGGGCTTCTGTCCTGGTCTTCCCTCCTCTCGGAGAGATCTAGTGGCTACCGGTGCAACTCCTTGGGGTCTTCGCTCAACTTGTCATTTTCTCAGTGAGGCCTTTTCTAAGCGCCTTACGCGCACCTTGGTCCTCCCACCAAAGACCTTCCACATATCATCCTTCCACCCCGGTCACCGAACGGACTGTGAATTTGTCTCCTTCCCGGACCGAAGGCAGGGGTCTTTATTGTCGTTGTTATTTCGTCTTGAATCTCCCGCTTATGGAAGAATTCCTGGCAAATCAATACGTCTCGGATGAATGAATCTTCCCCAACCCCAGGGCAGTTAGGAACCACCCTCTTTTCTGTCGCAGCACAAGTAAGGAGACACAATGCAGAAAACCACTGATGGTCATTTATCTCAAGAGTTTTCGCGCATTACAGAGGCTTAATGAACGTTTCTCTACATGTCTCCTAATTTTCTAGCTCAGATTTTAAAAAACGGCTTTATCTGCGTGCCATAAAAGCCACTCACTTTAAGAGTGCCTTTCAGTGGTTTTCGGTAAATTTATAAACATTGGCAGCCATCACCATAATCTAAGAACATTTACATCACCCCCAAAAGAACACTGTGCTCATTGCCTTCTACCCTTAAACCCAGACTACCACTAACCTACTTTCTGTCTGTAGATTTTCCTTTTCTGGGCATTTCCTACAATATGTGGTCTTTTTATGGCTAGCTTCTTTCACTTAGAATCATGTTCTCAAGATTCATCCATACTGTAGCATGTAATAGTACTTTATTCCCTCTTATAACTCATTTCTTTTTATTGCTGAATAGTATTCAGTTTTATGGGTAAACCACATTTTGTTTATCCATTTGCCAGTAGATGGGTATTTGGATTCTTTCCACTATTTGACTATTATGAATAACACTGTTATAACACTCAGGGAGAGAGAAAGCAGTGTGAGGACAGAAGCAGTGAGAGATTTGAAGACACAGCTGCTGGCTGGGAAGATGCAGGAAAGGGCCACAAGACAAGAAATGTAAGAAATGCGGCCCTAGAAGCCAGAAAAGGCATCCTGCCCTCAGCCTCAGGAGGGACCCAGCCCCATGAACACCTTGACATTATCCCAGAAACACTGATTTCAGACTCTAAAATCCAGAACTATAAGAGAATAAATTTGTGTTGTTTTAAACCACTAAATTTGTGGTATTTTGTCACAGCATCAATAGGAGAGTAATACAAAACATTATTTGCGGACACCAAAACTTCAATTTCAGATGAGTTTCACATGTCATCGTCATCATTATTATTATTCTTTTGATTTTTTCCAACCATTTAAAAATGTTAAAATCATTCTTAGCTTGCAGGCTGTACAAAAACAAGTGGTGGGCCAGATTTAGCCAAATATTAGCACAATTAATCCATCCATGGATTAAAAGAATAATACATAATTAGATGTTTGGAGTTTTTATAATGGAGTTTTTACAGTTTCAAAATTAGAGCACTATTAATGTAATTCATTATGAATTTAACAAAAACAAATCAAAATAAAACTCAAACATTTAAATAGATGTCTAAAAAGCATTTAATAAGATTTTAATGCTCTTCCTTTTTAATAAGTTAGTAATTGGAAATTTCGTATTTTAATAGCGGTTGTTTATGATAAATCATAACAAACATTTTGCTTAACAGTGAAAAATCAGTAGCATCTTTGGTCACCCAGTCTAAAGTAGTCACCACCACCCAGCCCACTTTCTCTCTGTAATAACTGGTTTTATTTATCAGTCCTTAATTGTCCTGCTTATTTATTTATTTTTACAGGTTTATTTCATTCTTCTTTCAGAAGAGATAGTGACTGTTCCCTTTTGTATGCCCAGAACCTAATACAATGTCTGGCACATATCAGGTGCTTAATAAATACTTGTTGAATAAAATCCATTTGTGATGGTTACTTTTATGTGTGAACTTGTTTGGGCCAAGGGGCCCAGATATGTGCCAGATATTACTCTGGATTTTCTGTGTGCTGTGGGATGAGATTAACACTGAAATCAGTGGACTCTGAGTCAAGCAGGTTGCCCTCCACAATGTGTCGAACGACTGAAGAGAACAAAAGACTGACGTCCCCAATGTGAGAGGGAATTCTGCCAGCAGACAGCCTTCCGCTTCGAACTGCAACATAGGTCTTTCCTAGGATTCCAGCGTGACAGCCTTCAGACTTGAACTGCAGATTGTGGACTTGCCAGCCTTCATAATCAGGCGTGAGCCAGTCCTTAAATCTCTCTGTATACACACAACCTAATGGCTGTTTCTCTGGAGGACCCTGACGAATGCACCACTGAAGTCTGAAACAAGGTAAGAATGTTTGTTATCACCACAATTATTCAACATTGTGCTAGAAGTCCCACTCAATCTGATAAGGCTGGAAAATAAGTAAAACGATAAATATGGTAAAGAAGATACATTTTTTTCAGATATGATTCTTTGAGAAAATCAAGTGAAGTTTATTAGATCTGATAAAATAGTGCAGTATGTAGTTGGGTACAGGACAGAAAAATCTACAGTTTTCTTAAACACATTAAATAACTAGCTAGAAAAATATAATTTTTTTAAAAAGCCTAAGCAAAATAGAAACAATTGTAGAAACTGCCCAAGAAAAAACATAATGTAAAACATTCAAGATCTTATATGAAAAAAACATAAAATTTTACTTAAGAGCCACCCCCCTCTCCAAAAAAGACCTGAATAAATAGAAATATGCACCACTTTCCTGATAGGAAAACACAATAGACATTTTAGTTTCATCAACCATTCAAATTAATGAAATTTCACTTGGAATTTTTACAGTGATTTTAAAGTTCAACTGGAAGAATAGACAAAAAAATTTGAGAACAATCTTAAGAAGAACAGTAAGAAGGGATCTTTACTGCTATCAAAAGATCCTAAAAATTTACAGGATCATATTTTAAAATAATTTGGAAAATGTTTTTTATATTTCAAGGTGAGAAGGTCTTTCTATGTCAGATGCAAAGCCAAGAAATTATAAAGTAACAATGGACAGATCTGACCACATAAAAATTAAGAACATCTATATTTATATAGGCATTGTGAGCAAAGTCAAAGGACAAAAAAGACTGGGAGACATTTGCAGCAAACATAATAGAAAGCGTTGATGTCCACAATATATAAACAGTTGAAAAAAGTCAGTAAGAAAAAATTTTAAAAATTGAAAATTTGACAAGGCCGAAAAGTCAAAGACAAGGAAAAAAAAGATAGTCAATTTCATAAATAATCAGGGAAATATTTTAAAAAACAATTTTTGTATTCAAATTGACAAAAATGAAAAAAATGAATACCTAGTGTTTCTGACTATATAGAAAAATGGGATTTTAAAACCCTAGTAATGGGAGAATAGTTTGTATAGTCCCTCTCTGTTTTGCTTTATCTATAAACATTTAAGTTACCCATTGTTTCAGTAATTCACTTTGAGAAATTTATCCCATCGTACTACCAGCAGGCAGCCTTCTTTTTAGGACAGCTGAAAATTAGAAACAATCCTTCCTACCTAGTAGAAAGGATGGAGAAGATAAATTATTGTGATCTGGGTCCTTGATGGACCTAACCTCCAAGTTTATGGATCCAAAAAATGTCTGAAAATCTACTTTTTCACAGGTGTTCTACTGAGAAGAAAGTAGGGATTGGAAGAAGTTGATTTTTTGTTATTATGAGCATGTATTACTTTTGAAATTTTATTAAAAATAAAATTTCATTTTGAAATAATTATATATTCATGGGAAGTTAAAAAAGTATCAAAACCAGGAGCTTGCTTGACATTATACAATTCACAGAGCTTATTCAGATTTCAACAACTATATATGCATTCAGGTGCACATGTGTGTATGTGTGTGTGTGCGTAGCTCTATGTAGTTTTATCATATGTGTATATTTATGTAACCAGCTCTCTAATGAAGATATGGGACTGATCTATAATCACAAGCAACCCTTACACCACACCTTTACAGCCACGTCCTCTCTTCATATCCAAAATATTCTTCTTAAGAAAAATGTAAGATTATGGAAAGAGAGCCATGATTTATTGCTGAGTGGAAAATTGTTACAGAAAAATGTTTTTGAGGAGGGAAAAATTTATGTACGTTTATATGAGCATATGAAACTTTCAATTCAATTTCTTAGACCCTAATTCAAATGTTCAAACTGAAAATCTGGTTCTCTAAACCAAACTTTGAAACACACTGACAGAGGAGACTTGTCAAGTTAATCATCCATCAATAGGTCACAGACTCCAAGTTCAACAACCAAAGTCAGTTCTCCTGAGTTCCTTATTGGAATCTCAACTGTGTTCATTTAAACAGAAGATTTATAAGACAAGCAGAGATATAGTATGAACACCATCCTGTCAGAACCTACTTTTCACTTATTTTTATAAGAGGCAGTGTTGACAGAGGAATTCCTGCTATGCTAATGTGTCATCTGAGGTCCAATGAACATACGGGCCATTTATGGAAGTGCCACTGTGACGGATTAAAATGGCAACCTTCTCAGGGTAAAGAAAAACAGTTTTGTACAATGAGAAACACATGTTCCAGAAACTTCTGGAGTTGGCATTTTTTGATAATGTTATAAGGCTTAATTTATCAGAGCCACAAAGTGAAGGAATTAATAATTCTTCTGCCACTGCAGCTGCCATCATACTTCTATTATACTACTATAATTCAGAGACAGCCTCTTTGCTAATTACAAATATATATTTTTTAATTAATTAATTAATTAATTTTTGGCTGCGTTGGGTCTTTGTTGCTGCACGTGGGCTTTCTGTAGTTGCGGCGAGGGGGGAGCCACTCCTCCTTGCGGTGCGTTGGCTTCTCATTGTGGTGGCTTCTTTTGTTGCGGAGCACGGGCTCTAGGCGCGCAGGCTTCAGTAGTTGCGGCAAGCATGCTTCAGTAGTTGTGGCGCACGGGCTCTAGGCATGCAGGCTTCAGTAGTTGTGGCACGCAGGCTTCAGTAGTTGTGGCTCGTGGGCTCTAGAGCACAGGCTCAGTAGTTGTGGCTCACGGGCTTAGCTGCTTCAAGGCATGTGGGATCTTCCCGGACCAGGGCTCGAACCCGTGTCTCCTGCGTTGGCAGGTGGATTCTTAACCACTGCACCACCAGGGAAGCCCACCTATATTATGTTTTGCCTTTTGTCACTAACCCTCCTGGAATTATCTTTGGATAGAGTGTATGCTGGGTATCCAATTGTTTTTCTTCCATATATGGATATCTGTGACATTATGATTTATAATAAGAAATATGTATTTTGTCTTCCTTTGTCCTATTTCTGGCACAGAGCTCCTAAAACCTTTGGAATTTCTGAAGTAACAGAGCAATGAAGAGGTCTTTCGTTATGTTAATGAGTTGACTTTTGGAAAGTACCAAAAGATGGGAGCTGGTTGCCAAGAGAAACAAATGTGATTAGAGCGTTGGAACTTTTAGCATCCTCCTATCCTGCTCTGGGGAAGGGAGGGGGCTGGCCAATGATTTCATCAATCATGCCTATGTAATGAAGGCTCCATAAAAACCGAAAAGGGTGGAGTTTGAAGAATTTTCAGGTTGGTGACCTAGATGCTTCCACAAGTCATTAAGCCTGGCCCCAAACTCCATGAGGACAGAAGCTCCTTTGCTTTGGCCCTTGCTCTGTGTATCTCTTCATCTGGATGTTGATTTTTATATTTCTAATATCCTTTGTAATAAACTGGTAGTCTAGTGACTAACCTGGTTTCCTTAGTCCTGTGAGCTGCTCTAGGAAATTAACTGAACCCATGTTGTGAGCACCTCTGATTTATGGCCAGTTGGCTGGAAGCACAGGTGGCAGCCTGGACTTGTGATTGGCATCTGAAGTGAAGGACTGAGCCGTTAACCTGAGGAATCTGATACTATCTCTGGGTAGAGAGTGTCAGAATTGAGTTGAATTGTTGGACACCCAACGGGTGTTGGAAAGTAGCCTGGTGGTGTGGGGAGAACCGCCACACATTGAAATTGGAATCAGAATCATTAATATACTACACAGTCCCAGCTCCATTCACTGAAATGTGCAACCTATTTCCAACTCTCTGTAGTTCTGGATCACAGATCAAGTTTCCAGTCTGTTTATGCATCGCTCTCAGGTATTGCTCTATTTTTTTCTGTCCCTGCAGCAGTATCACATGGTCTCAAATTCTATAGCTTTATAAAGTGTCTTGCTATATGGTGGGAAAGTTCTTGCAATTCATACTTCCTCAAAGGTGTTTAATTTTTCTTGGATTTGCAGGTCCATACATTTTAAAGGAAATTTTATAAAGTTCCATGGAAAAAGGGGCAGAGTACATTTAGATTGGGAATACATTGACTCTATATTATGTTGGGGAAAGTTGACATCTTTAATATTGAGTCTGCCAATCCATGGACATGTAACATCTTTCGATTTAACTACTTTTTAAAGAGATTTCATAATTTCCTCTATAAAGATCTTGGGCATTTTTGCAAGATTTAATTCCTGAAATAATTATGTCATAGTTTTCAGAGCTACTGTAAATTTTACCTTAAACATTTTTATTTCTGTTACTAGCTGGTATATTAAAATACAAGTGAATTTTATATACTAGTTTTGTATTTAGCAAATGCCAACTTTAAAAAAAATAAATTTATTTATTTTAGGCTGCGTTGGGTCTTTGTTGCGGTGAGTGTGAGTGGGCTTCTCATTGTTGTGGCTTCTCTTGTTGCAGAGCACGGGCTCTAGGCATGTGGACTTCAGTAGTTGTGTCATGCGGGCTCAGTAGTTGTGGCTCGCTGACTCAGTAGTTGTGGCTCGCTGGCTCTAGAGCACAGGCTCAGTAATTGTGGCGCACAGGCTTAGTTGCTCCACGGCATGTGGGATCTTCCCGGACCAGGGATCGAACCTGTGTCCCCTGCATTGGCAGGCGGATTCTCAACCACTGCACCACCAGGGAAGCCCAACAAATGCCAACTTTTCTTGTTAATTCCAACAACTTATCTGTAGATTCATTTGGATTTTCTGTGTACCATAGCCTATCACCTGTTTTTCTTCTTTTTAATATTTATTTATTTATTTGTTTGTGCTGGGTCTTAGTTGTGGCAGGCGGGCTCCTTAGTTGCGGCATGCATGTGGAATCTAGTTCCCTGACCAGGGATTGAACCCAAACCCAGGCCCCCTGCATTGGGAGCATAGCGTCTTAACCACTGCACCACCAGGGAAGTCCCCTATCATCTGCTTTTAATGATAATTTTATTGTTTTTCAATCCTCAACTTTCTACTTCTTTTCTAGATTTACTGTGCTAGCTCAGACTTCCAGCATTAGGTGGAATGGAGTGTGTGATGATGGGAATCCTTGTTGTTCTTAGTTTCAAAAGGAATGTTTTTAGAAGATGTAGTGGGTAAATAGTGGCTCCCCCAAAGATTTGTCCTAGTCCTAACCTGACTACTTTGAAATGTGACCTTACTTAGAAACAGGGTCTTTGCATATGTAATTGAAACTCCCAAGATGAAATCATCTTAGACTTAAGAGTGGGCCCTAAATCCAATGACGAGTGTCTTTATAAGAGACAGAAAAGGAGAAGATACGGAGACAGAGGGAAAGACCATGTGATGACAGAGGCAAAGATTGGAGGGATGTGTCCATAAGCCAGGGAACACCAAGAATCGCCAGCAGACTAGACTTTACAAGGAAATGCACAGATGGGCCAAGAAGGTTCAGGATTCTTTTTCAGTAGTTACATGAGTGTGTTCTTATAATTATTTTTAAGCTGGAGGTTTATGTTTTATATACTTTTGTATATGTGAAACATTCCACAATTTAAAAAATTTATAACATTATTTAACTGGAAGATGGGTAGAAGGGAAACAATTAGGAATTTGTGGGCCATATGCTACTGTTCAGTGTTAGGACTTCAAGTTCCTTTTTGATTCTCTTAATCACATTTCAGGGTAATTTTCGTTCAGTCATTCATTCATCCATTCGATACTTATTGCATCTTTCTAGTTTCAGGCACAGTATGAAACAGAAGAAGAGCACGGTCTCTGTTATCAAGTTGCTTAACATGTGGTCAGGGAGACAGACTACAATTTAGATCATGACCACATAGCAGGGAAGAGACAACAATACAAGTACACAGATGGAGAGATTCAGGGGAGTGATTCCTGCAATGAGCACTGAAGGATATCTAAGCCAGAGGAAGAAGAGGGTCATGGCATTCCAGACCAAGGGGAAGCATGTACAAGGAAGGTAAGGAACAAGGCACAGAAGGAACAGGGATTGATTTTGCTGGACTACAGGGTACATATTAGGAAGCTGTGAGAGATTTGATTAAAGATACAGGCAGAGGCCAGATTAAGAAAAGCCTTGGAAGATGTATTAGTTAGAATTAGGTTTGGCTGTGAGGGACTGATTATCCAAAATAATAGTGTAAATAAGAGAGAGGTTTAGGGACTTCCCTGGAGGTCCGCCTTTCAATGCAGGGGATGTGGGTTTGATCCCTGGTCGGGGAGCTAGGATCCCACATGCCTTGCGGCCAGAAAACCAAAACATAAAAAAACAGAAGCAATATTGTAACAAATTCAATAAAGACTTTAAAAATGGTCCACATAAAAAAAATCTTTAAGAAAAAAAAAAGACGGAGGTTTATTGCTTTCTCATGTAAACCCCGTGTGTGGGTAGGTGGTGGCTTCTGTGACGCTTCACTCTGAGTCCAGGACCCAGACACCCTCTCTTTTTAAGGCTCCATGGTCCAAACGCAGCTAACAATTAGCACAACACAGCCTTTTAAAATAAAAGTGCTTTTATTATAAAATTCTAAAAATGTGCTTTAAAGGTCAGTCATGGGAATACTGCAATAATAAGAAGAAATATATCTTCATAATCCAGGCAATCACAGAGCAGATTTTATATTGTCCATGGAATTAATATTTAAAAGACAGTCTTCTTCTTTTCAGTTAAGAAGAGTCTTCAGAGCACCATTATTTGAAGGAAAGGTATTTTGCGTATCAGAGTTCATCTTTGGTCTGCAATTAAGAAACAAAATATTTAGAGCCATCAGGAAGTCTTCTACGAGTCAAGAAGGCTTACGTTAGTCTATTAATTATTTTCCCCTAAAGATGAAAGAAGGGGAAAAAAAAAAGCCAAGTTATTGCTAGAGGCTTTTAGGACTATTATTTGGAATCACCCAAGGGTAAAGTCACATTGGTGGGGAACCTGAACATCTAAGGGTCTGTATTATGGTAAAAGGCTTGTGTTATGAATGGTATCAGTGAACGGCTAGAGTAGACAATGGGCAAAAAATAAACAAAGCTATCATTCTAGTCCCTAACTGCTATGAATCTGGGGAATCATCTGTCACCCCTCAAAGTCACTTAGAGATAAAAATTTAAAAAGAGGAGTGGAGAAAGGGAGCTGCCCACTTTCATTTGGAGCCAACAGAAGCGTTCTGATATCAAATCACTAACTCCATGTGGGAGCACGTTTCGAGTCTGGAAATTTCTGTTTTGTCACTGGCTTTCACTGATTTTATGGCCTTGCAGCACTAAGAGGAATTAATGCTGATGATGCACCACTTCTGAGAGCCAGTTGGTGGCCAATCAGTTCCCCCCCAAAACAGAACAGACACCCAAAACTGATTTGTAGCATGTACTGTTGTCATGGTGTAAATACTTCCACCACGTGGATTCCAAGCTACCAAAATTTAACCACTGTGAAAAATTCCTAAATATTTAACAATCTGTGAACTTGGATGAGGTGTGGCTCCATCACGCCATCGGGGCTGGTAGTCTTCTTATTCCTTTTAAACCCGCTTGAGAGGCGGACGTAATAATTGCCAAATCTGCGCTCTCAACTTTGGTTCCAATGCCACAGTTCTGAGTTTGTCCGTTCAGAGACATGATGCTGTTGCTTAAAATAATGTCAAGCCAGCATATTTTATATACACATATAATACATAGAATAACTTTATACAGTATATATTCCTTCAAATGAAAAATACCTATAATCACCGCCCCCCCCAAGCCATCACACTGTCTTTATGCACAATTATGCACACAATTTGAAGGTGATACACTGGTTTTTGGTTCTTGCTTTGCTATAATCCAGATAGATGATTCTGAGCTAAACTCTTCTTTGGGCTCGGTTTTGTTAACTATAAAATGAAGGCATTTACTGGGTGATCTCTAAGGTCCTCTTCAGCCTGCCAAGTCCATATGTGCATCTGCCTTTTATAAACAAAATCAGTATGTAGTGGTATCAACCGAGATTGCTTTTAAATGAATGTTAACATGAATAATGATGGTTATACGTTTTTCCATCTCTAAACTGGGATGACGAACTCTGCAGAAACGATCTCACAAAGAAATGAAGCTCTTAGATGATAGGTGTGAAAACACTTTTCAAACTGTAAACATCTATTCAAATGCCACGTGATCTGAATTCTCACAGTAAAAATGGCTTCCCTCCGCTTTGCTGAGAGCTCACTTCACTGCATCTTGGCGCTTGTCTTTTGCCTTGTTGGGATCTATTTTATCTGCCTCTACTAGAATGAATTGCTTGGAGGCTCCAGGAGGAATTCAGGTAGCTGTTGCCTGACTGAACGAGGAAAGGAATGAATGAAGAGTTGGATCACTGTTAGTTCTTACTCTGACACTGGCTAGAAGGTGAGTTCTGGTTACCTTCTTTGTATGGCACATGCAAGGAAAGAGGTCATCCTCGGTCTGTGGTTCTACCCTCCTCATGCCCTCCCGAATTTGGGGCTCACCCACTTGTAAACTGGCATATTCCTGTATAGGAAACAATACAAAAACATGTCTTATATATCACTTAACATCCACTTACCAAATTAGATACGCCAGAGTCCGCTAGAACACAGTCCACTTAACTCACATGTCAAGTTGTGATATGCAAGGTCCTCCATATTCCCCTTAAAAGCCCAACAACAGAGCTTCTGAGAGGCGGCTGACCTTTGGGCACTGGCTGCCTGTTTCTAAGGGACCACTCCTTAGTCTACGCTTCACTGATATGACTCGTACGGTATTTTTTTTTTTTTGACCTTCTGCCACGTAGAGAAAATAATTGTGCTTCCCATCTTCCCTAGACTGAGAATCTGAGGACAGACTATTTCTGCCTGACCCACCATGGCTGGTACAGCCTCAGTCGCATCTTCATTCGTCATGTGCTTGCTCTGGGCTAAGCTCTGGCCGAGGTGCTTAGGCTCGAAAAATGTGAGTTGAATGAATGAACTCTACCCTGTGGCTCTTTAGGAATGCAAATAGTACGTCCCCCCAGCTCCTTCTTCAGTTTACATACTTCACCATCCCCTAGGAAAGGTTATAAAGGAGGAAGGGACCAGGAATGACAAACTTTGTTCTGCAGCAGAGCCTAAGACACGGGGCTCAATATCAGCAATCCTGAATTTAAAACATCTTGACTTAGATCTAGTACTATTATTAGCCAATTACTTGTTTACTACTGCACTTTTTTTAAAAAAAGAACTTTTCAAATTGTCAGATATGCTCTAATTACAATGCCTAAATGGGTAGGTCCATAAAAACAATTTCCAAGAAAAGTCATGGCCCACATGGGGTCAGCACAACAGGTCCAAACATACCTTGCACTGTATAGAAAAAGAAATGGTAAGGCAGCAGCAATATTGTACAGAGAGGAAATGTGAATCCACGCACAGTAACTCTGTAGGATCAGACGCCAATTTTCTAACCACATACCGCATGGTTCTAACATTAATACTTTTCTTTTAAGGTTGTAGCATTCTCCATTAGCTAATCTTTGGTTTTCTACTATTTTCATTATTATTTAATATTTATCCCTGATTTTTGCCTACAGAGGTATACATATATCTCCTTAATGAATATACTATTAGAAATTGTTAAGTGAAATATTACTTGCTACTAACATGACCAATTACAAGTATGTCTATTTTCTTAGAAAATACTGACCTGGAAAAGCTTAAAATAATAACAGAATATGTCATCACCCATGAGATTATTTCTTGCAAATTCTTGTCCTGTTTTTGCTATCTTCTTTGCCTGTGGGAACAAGAATAATATGCTTTAATGAAACATATTTTTCCCCATACAGACATACGCTAACTGATCTTCAGAGGACATTTTAGTGGGACAATAGTGGAAAAAATATCTTTGGGGTCTTGTGAGGTAAAGGGAACATTTAACAGAGTATGTTTGTTCAAATCAAAGGGACGATTTTAAGACTCGAAAGTTTGAGAAGTCATATTGGGCCTTCTAGAATTGGCCTCTCTTGGAGAGAAAAGGCATACAATAATTGAACTAACAATGACTTTGCAAAGTAAATGTAAGATGAAGCTTAATGCACTGCCTTAACAATTTTCAGCAGACAATTAGTTTGATGCTTCTTTCATGCAATCCCTCATTTTAATCCATAGCACAGTTAGTTTTTCCTCCTGCCAGGCTGGCCATCTTCATTTTCATATTGCTAGGTGAGGTGAGGCAGTGCTTGGGGCTCAAATCAAACTGACTAAAGGAGAGAGCATAATCAAGGCCAAGGTTTAGCTTTTTGTGTCATGTGCAGAGTGGACAGCTAATCCAAGCCACTATGCCTGTGTTTACCCTGAAGAGATCTGTGCTATCCGCGGGAGGTGGCTTCCCATTTACAGGTAAGGGTCTACATCTAAGCATCCCGAATGCTTTCCAGGCACAAGACATTGAAAATGAACCCATGATAACTGGGGTACAAAGAGACTGACCTTACCTCTTCATCGTGATCTTTTGCCCATTTAAGTTTTTCTAGGAGATCGCTCAGGTTGCTTTTAACTGGAATGTAGTGTTTCCAGGGCTGCAGTTCATTATAAAAGTGTTCATAGTAGATGGAGTCCTGCTTCAGCACCACACTGTCACCTACTAGCAGATACGGTAGGCGATAAGCTGCAACGGTGCCATCGACGTTTATCTGATACTTATGCTGCAAACAGCAGTAAAGTAGAAGAACCTCCATTAAATTTCCTTTTTCCCACTCTTCTTTATTCTCCTTCTCTTTCCACACATCAAACCTCAGATACAAACTGGCCAGATTTTGCCCATGGCCTCCACCACTTAGTAAGCGCTATTATATATAACATGCTGACCTAGAGCTAAGGGCTCTAACATTTTGATGTTCCCCCAAGTTTCAAAAAGGGTCCACAAGGCTAATGGTGGGGCAGCCAATAAAATTATAAAACTGTTGTCCTAAGGCTACAACCTAAGGAAAGATAGATTTACCGTGACTCTGTAATCCATTTACTACTTTCTTGATGGCACGTGAGCACTTCACGATGGCACATTCTATGCCGTGTTACCTTTTAACATCAGGTGGCCACATGCAAGTTTTAATGAAATTAACAAGCTCTGGGGCAAGAACACCTATGAATCAAAATATTTATAGCACTGTGGTAGTCAACAGTCTTTAGCTGTAGCAAATTCAACAGGTAGAAAGAAAGCAAAGGTCTGATAAAACACCCTCTGAGGAGGGATGGCTGGTATCAGATTTGATTTGGTATCAAATCTCCCATTTCTTTCCAAAATTTCTGTGATATGCATGTGGAAGAAACACAGACAATTCAACATATGGCCTTCTTTAGGTCTTCCTCGTACCAGGTAACCCATCAAAAGAAAATCAGGCCATTTACAGCACAGACAGCTAATCACTGGCCTTCCCACCTGCAGAAGACAGCTGACTACTTTTTGGCCCACTTTTCCCTGTTCACCCCATGGGGCTTCAAAACCCCTCAGTGGTCTAGAGATCAGGGCAGCATCCCACTGCTTGAAAAAGGGGAATTGTCAGAGAAAGGATCCATACTGGGGAAACAGGAACAATCCACATTCTAGACACAGAAAGTGTGTAGCATCCCCAGAGTTCCTGGGCAGAATGTTTGGATGGATTCCAAGTCATTTCCCTACCAGAAGGCCCAATAAGAGACACCTGGTTTATATTTCTTCTTTAGTCTATTATGATGCTATGGCTCTGGGGAGAAATATTTGTAAAATTACTTACATGCATTTATTAATAAAAAAGGATTTGGAGCTAAAATATGCTTTTCTTGAGGGTCAGTTGGGGGAAAAATTATAGCTCTACCCAGGTCCCAAGCTCCTGTGGTGCATATTTAATATCAGGTCTAGGTACTGAGTACAACCCAGGTTGCCCCCCTAGGAACTGGTTAGTCCCCGGGGCTCCATTCCTCACTGTTCCTAAAATGTTGTGCTCACCTCTCTCACCCCTGAAATTTACAGGCCTCGATTTCCCGCCCCCAAATGCAGGTATTTGGAAAAACACAAAGGATTCGCCACGGATGATGTCATACCTTGAAGAAATCAAAAAATGAAATGTGTTTCACAATGGGACCATACAGGCTTTCATCGTGTTTAAAGAAGAAAAAGTTGGTGAAAGCAGCGTCTATGAGTTCCGGGTGTTTTCTGCTGAGTTTAACCAACTCAAGTCTCTCTTTTCGGCTGTCTCGCCCTCTCCAGACAGCTGTGGAATTTTTGCTTTCCCAGGGAGGACCTGTGTTGGCTTGCACAGACATCATATCCAGACTGACTCTGGAAGACAGAGTGCAACAGATTTTTCTCCCAAACCATCACACTGCAAGGGTTGTTGGGAAAGAACTCACCAAGGAAAGAAAACCAAGGCTCTGGGTCGTCCGGGACCCGTCTCTCACCGGCCCATGGTTTCGAGGACAGAGTCAGTCAAGTCGTAGGTAGGCATCACGATATCCTTGGAATCTGTGGAGCCACACCAGGAAAAGATCGGATGGATGTTTGAATCAGATTTCTTTTTTTCCAAAGGCCAGTCTCCCAAATTAACAAAAAACTCCACATCGGGCATCTTCACCTAGGAAAAGAAAGCCAAGATGGTTAAAATGATGGTATAGTTTTTCATATCAGCCATTTCACTATCATTGTCAAAACTCCACTAAAACCCTGCTAAAGCACACTACACCCAGGGACAGGATTCAGCATATGGCAATTCTCCTTTAGGCTCAAAGTAGGTTTAGTACCAAAATAATTTTACTGTAAAGTATCTTCTTTTCTTAAAAATATTTACTTATTCATTTATTATTTTGACTGCACTGGGTCTTAGTTGCGGCATGCAGGATCTTCATTGCGGCACATGGGATCGTCATTGCGGCGTGCGGGGTCTTTTAGTTGTGGCATGCATGCGGGATCTAGTTCCCCAACCAGGGATCGAACCCAGGCCGCCTGCACTGGGAGCGCGGAGTCTTACACACTGGACCACCAGGTAAGTCCCAGGTATTTTCATCTATAATATACTGTTTGGGGTTGAGTGTATCCCCCCCAAAAGATATGCTGAAGTCCTAAACCCCAGTATCTCAGAATGACCTTATTTGGAAATAGGGCTGATGCAGTTGTATTTAGTTAAGATGAGATCCTACTGGACTAGGGTGGACCCTTAATCCAATATGACTGGTGTCCTTGTGAGAAGAGATGAAGATGTCAAAACACACAAGGATAACACCATGTGACAACAGAGCGGAGTGATGCAGCTGCAAACCAGGAACACCAAGGATTGCCGGGCACCCCCAGAAACTAGGAAGAGCCAAGAAAGGATCCCCCCCTATAGGTTTTAGAGGAAGCACTGCCCTGCTGACACCTTGATTTCAGA